AATGGTGATCCTGGTCTCCTGCACCATGGAAGCCCATTCTGTGAAGTCGCGTTCGATTCCAATGTCGGGGGAGAATGTGGGCTGGGTGGCTGAGTTATATGTATCCTACAGGATTAATCAGATGGTGAATTAATGTGTTTTGAAATACGGCTCTGTTACAACTGCTTTAGCTGTGTGACCCTGGGCAAGCTATTTTACCCCTCTCTATATTAAGGCTAATAAAAGTACCTACCTAATAGGGTTTGGGGAAGGCTAAATGTGCAATTCTATCAAATACGCTATAAAATGTTGCTGTATGCTGGGCACAGTGGCAGATGCTGGGAATACAGCAGAGAGAAACAGAAAGTTCCTGCCCGCTGAGTTTCTAGTCTAGCAAGGAAGCAGACACCAGACAAGCAGCAAGTTCTCACAGAGGGCGAGAGTCAAAGAACAAGGAACTTGCTTCAATAGTCTCCCAATGGGTTCCCCTGCTTCCACCCTCGCCCCTTCAAAGACCCTCCACGGGCCCAGAAGGGAATGCAAAGTCCTAAGGCTCTACTTGGGCTCTGGCTGCCTCTCCAAGGCGTTTCCTACCACTCCTCCCCCCCGCCCCCCGGCCTTGCTTATTCATTTCCAGCCACATTGACCCCTTGCTACTTTTTGAGCACCCCAAGCAGGTCCTCCTCAGGGTCTTGTGTGGATCGTTCTCCCCCAGGATCTCCACATGGCTCACCTCTCCCTTCATTCAGGTCTCTGCTCACAACCTCTTTGTCGGTGAGGTCTTTCCAGAAGATCCCACCTAAAATAGACACCCTCCAGCACTCTATTCCTCTACCCTTAATTTCCCCCCATAGTTCTTTTTAATACTGATACATATTATAATGGCTTATATTATAATGGCTTATAATGGCTTATGTGTCAACTTGGCTAGGCCCAGTATTTGGTGTCAGTATCCAGATATGTGAGCAAACGTGATTCTAGATGTTTCTGTGAAGGCATTTTTTAAGATGAGATTAGCATTTAAATCAGTAGACTTTGCATAAAGCAGATTGCCCTCTGTAATGTGGGTGGGCCTCATCCAATCAAAGGCCTTAATAGAAAAACACTGACCCTGAAGAGGGAATTCTGTCAGGAGTCTGCCTTTGGAGTCAAACAGCAACATCAGCTCTTCCCTGGGGCTCCAGGATGCTAGCCTACCCTGCAGTTTTAAGGCTTGACAGCCTCTACAATCACATGAGCCAATTCCTTAAGTCTTTCTGTTTGTGTACACACATACACACACATCTATATCCATCCATCCAACCACCCACATATATATATATCCTATTGGTTCTGTTTCTCTGGAGAACCCTAAAACATAGATCTGTTTGTCTTCCTGGACCAAGAGACAAACTCCATGACAGCAGAGACTTTGTACTATCACTGCTCTCTCCTTGGCCCTCAATAAACTTGTCTTGAATGAAGGGAGCCAGTAAGAATTTCACATTGGAAAAAATGCTATTAAAGGAAATAAGTCAGGTGACAAGAGTCAATGGCTGGGGAGAACATTTTCTTCTTGTACTGGGTTGAATGGTGTCCTCCCAAAATTCATGTCTACCTAGTACCTCTCAATGTGATCTTTGTGGAAATAGGGTCTTTGCAGATATAATTAAATTGAGATGAGGTCATAATGGATTAGGGTAGGTCCTCATGCAGTAAGTAGTGTCTTTATAAGAAGAGAAAACAGAGACACAGAACACACGGAAAGGAGGATGCCATGGGAAGGCACAGGGACACAGAGACACGGAGGGAGAATGGCGTGTGACGTCAGAGGCATGTAGCATCCAGGATTGCCAGCAACTACCAGAAACTCTCGGAGAGAGGCATGGGATGGCTTTCCCTCAGGGCCCCCAGTAGGCTGCCCACCCTTCTGACACCCACTGGACTTCCAGCTTCCAGAACTGCAAGAAAACATATTTCTGTTGTTTAAGTCCCCAGTTGTGGTACTTTGCTCCAGCAGCCCCAGGAAATGGACACACCCCTCTTCCTCACATCTCTATCAGTTCCCCAGAACCCTGCAACTCACCTGCAGCTGTCCCCAGAGCCCCTCACTGAGTCACCTTTTTTGTGTGGAGCACCCAGCAGCTGAGTGCAGGTTTCCACTTGGCCACCGGGTAACCTTGCATCTAGATGTGAGCAGGTGGTGAGAGTCTGCACAGGAGCTGGGGGTGGTCCAAAAGCAGCCAGTTTTTTCAAAACTTCAGTGTCCTGGTTGGGAGGAAACAAGCCTCAAACTGTGCTGGGAATCAAGACGGGAGCACATGAGGTTACCAGCCAACTGCACAAATGGGACATCCAGAGGCAATCACCCAGCTTTTGGTTCAGTAAGCTCCTTTTTCAATTAAGAAATATCATATATGAAGGGGTCTTGTAGATTTCCATCGGCTGCTGTTTCATCCAGAGGATGAAAGCTTTTCTCTGCCAGGGCTAGAGCTCTCGTGGGGCTCTGGCGTGAATGCTCTTGGGTGCTGTGTGTGTGTGATTTTGGGAAGAAGGGCACGGGACTGAAGGGTGGTTCCTACTGGCACAAGCTGGTACTGGCTCCTGCGATACTTTTCATTCATAGCACTGATCACAGTTTGTAATTGCATATTTACGGAATTCATTTATTTTGCCTGGAAGGATCCGTGTCTGTTTTGCCAAAAATCCCCAGGAGGATGGGGATTATGACTTTTTGCTTCCCTGTGTCTGCTGCGCAAAGCGCGGTGTGCAGCTGACAGCAAGCATTCGATAACTATTTGCTACAGGGAAGTGAGATGTGTAAACACAGATTAACAGATTGGGATGCTAAAGTCACCCTGCCGAAGAGTGCTGTACATCTCTTAGAAGTAACCTCCCGTTTCATTACATAACTGCATCTCCCGTGTGGCCCAATTGATGAAAACTCCCCTCCTCTTAATCTTCACATAAGGGAACCTTAGCTACCAACTCATGGGGCTTTCTTTCTCTCCCCCAACTCTACTGTAACCTCTTTTTTTAGGTAGTCAACTTTTTTCCTTCCAAAGGAAAACTTATGTGGAATCCCAATCCAAATCCAACTGAAGGCTGAGTTGTTCACGGGGCAGTGGGAGTTGTGGCAGGTGTGGAACCCTCACAAGCCTCCCGCTAAGGCATCTCCAACGATCCCCAGAAAGTTTCTCGTTTGAAAACCCCACCACGGGGGTCCCAGAGGATCCCCCCCCAATCTGGGGATGTGGGCCTCTGAGACTCAGCTTCAGTGGAAGCTGGGCCCTCAGACCATGACTCAGACTCAAATGTTGGGACCACACTCCCCCAGGAGGTGGCCCACTCGGAAGGCAGATTCCGGCTCCTCAGGGAAACATGTCTCTCCATCACCTCGTGTCCATCTGATAAACAGACTGCTCCTTCAGGACTGAGCATCAGGATAAAGCACAGTACAACCACATAAGAAAAATAACTTTGTTATTAGGCATACATAATCTCATCAAAAGTATTTCATAGCATCACATCCATAACTGAATACTAGCTCAACTGTTATATGGACCTGTTATAAATAACGAACATAGCTACTGAAGTATATGACTAGCCACTGGAAATAAAAACAGAGTCACGACACACATGGAATTCCCCAGGGTGCTTGCTTTGGGGATCTCATAAAGAACGCTGAGGCCCCTGGGGGATGTGTAAAAGGGTCTTTTTCCTATGATATCCCTAAAGCAGTAATATTTGTTGCAGGAGCACGTGAAGTCCAAGGTTTTATGGGTTAACAATTACGGCCATGTTTGTGTTTTTTCCTCAAATGGAAAATTATTTTTTGATTTGTTGTGAAACATACATGCTGATGGTGCCAGGACAAATTTCATCTATTTCCTGAACTCATCATTAATAACTTTATGCTTTTTTTTTTTTTTTTTTTTTTTTGCGGTACGCGGGCCTCTCACTGTTGTGGCCTCTCCCGTCGTGGAGCACAGGCTCCGGACGCGCAGACTCGGCGGCCATGGCTCACGGGCTCAGCCGCTCCACGGCATGTGGGATCTTCCCGGACCGGGGCACGAACCCGTGTCCCCTGCATCGGCAGGCGGACTCTCAACCACTGTGCCACCAGGGAAGCCCCTATTAATAACTTCAGATGGCTCTGTTCTTCTAGTTGTTTGGCCTGGATTCCTGCAAATGAATTTCTTTTTCAGGAAAGGTTATCTGAAAGATGTTAAGGTGATACTGCTGCTCTGTGACAGGCTGGAGTGGGGAGAGGGCGAGGGACACTCGAAGTATGAGGAGGGATTTGCTATCACCCCAAGGAGATGCCTGGTGTCTAGTCACGAAGAAGATCCTCCCCCTGCACTCCTGGCAGCAGGCCTCACGAGGCCGACAGTAGTATGAACCCTAGAAAGGGAGCATGGCCAGAACCAGGGGGCCCTTCACCTGGCATCTGGTGGAGTAACAAAGCCCCGACCCCTGGGTGCCAATGTGCATTTGTTATTTACCTGTTTGGCTAGGAACACACTTGCCTGAGTTTATACGGTAGAAATGACTTTAGTTGACCAATTCATTCTGTGGCAGGTGTTAGAATTAATACAGAAGGAGAGACAAGACAGCATTCCCTTTGTATCCCCATAGGCTTTGGCATCATAAAGCTTATAATTTCTCCCTGTGGAATTGGAAAGGGAGGAGGATTTTCTTAAACTAAAATGTATCCCCTCCTTGCACTATTTTGAACTGGAGAGTTTTATGCCCATCGCTTTCCGAAACAGAAGCAATCTATGAAGTCCTATTCTAAGTTCTAGTTATCAGGGTGCAAAAAACTGAAGTCAGCATTTCTGGGAAAGAATTGAGGCGTGTACAAAGACCTTTCTTCCCCATGACACATGAAGTGGATTACCAAAAGTAGCAAATTTTATGCCCCCTACCCCCAAAAGCCTTTTCCATTAGGTTCTAAGCGGAAGTCCTGTTTAGACAGTGAAGCTTTGGTTTTCCACCCATAGCTAAAAGACACATTAGGAATAACAATGCCTTATTATGTCTTATCTTTGAAAAATATAATTTGGGAATACAGAGTACATATTTAGTCCTATGGTAGCAGTCCAAGTTTTGAAAACCTGAGGATAAATAATTATTGTATAAGTTGACCTGATCCAGCAGACTGAGATGATAAAATACAGGTTACTGTGTGTTTTGTTAGAAAATCTTATCCAGAATCGTCTCACAAATCCCAGATATTACCACCTTCCATTCATTCTGTTCATATATTACTCTAGCCTCTGGCTAAACACGCAATTTCGTTGCATTTTATGAGTACCCAACAACAGAGAAGAAAATTCTATTTCTACATACAGTTCATGGTTAAAAAGGTAATTAAATTCTTCATTAAAAAAAAATCAAAGATGAACCTCATCATTTCTCATAGAGCCTGTGCATGATTTTTTTTTTTTTTTTTAGCATTCATCCATCCACACACTTTAAGTACCGCGTCCCACAAGCAGGCAAACGTTAAATATATATACCAGGTGACTTTGCGTGAGTAAGAAACAGCGGAGTCAAGTGTTGGTGAAAAACTCAGCCACCGGCTGGCTGACTGGAGCCCTGTGTCTCTAACAGGATGGGGAGGAGAGAAGGAAGGCTGGTGTCACTTGAGATTTGCAAACACAAGCCCTTCCTATTGTTCTGAAGAAAGATTGAAAAGTGGCAATATAAACAGCCACGGTGGCTGTCTTTAAACAAGCTCTCCCAGGAGAGTGAAATGATGTAGGCTAAAAGGAGATGGAAAAAGAAAACTAAACACAAACCGCCCAGAAAGTCATGGGGACACTGCAGGGTGGGAAATGGGAACATGAGCAAAGAAAAGTTGTAACAGTGGTCCTTTGTGAAGCTTAATATAAGTGCAAAGGTCTCCTGAACAGGTCGATGAAACGTCATTCTGGGTGTCAAACGACAAAGCCACAAAGTGAACCTGAAGGAGCCTGTAAGCTGCCCATTAAAACCAAGAGGTTCCCCAACAATATTACAAAGTGGCAGATGTTCCTGCCCCTCCCCTGAGCACTCGTGCTCCTGTGGTTCCAGAGAAAAAAGCCTTTTCCGGAATGTGTGTCCTTCTGGGACCCAGAAGTGTAAGAGCAAGCACTGACTCCAGGGGAGGTTTGGGAATATACTTTGCCAGCTGCTTCCTGTGTTTGCCGAGGAAGGGAAATCAAGAAGACCTGCAACTAGGACTAAATTATGGAAAATTAAGGAAAAGCCGGGAGGAAGTTTTTAGCAAACGAGGAAAACTGTTGTTTTGCCCCTCCCTCATCCAAGAGACCTTTCAATCATGTGTTAGTCTCAACACGCTGGCAAGCTTGGCTGGCCCCTGACAAGGGCTTCTAATTCCTACAGACAGCAAATTTACCTGCCTCTGTGACGCAGCAGGTCCCCTGCCCAAGGGTCTTCTGCCCCATGGCCAACAACCCGAGCAGGCAGCCTCTTCCAGCCTGAGCACCACTGAACACCGACTCAACCTGGATCACAGCCTAATGGCACCTGGCGGGCACCCGGTCACAGCCAGGGAATTCAGCACCTCTCCCTGAGGGTCAGTTACCTTTGTTTAACAAATAATCTAAGCAAGCTCACTCATTCGATCAGATAGCTTTAAATCGTCCTGGCAAACCAGGAGCCCGCTGTGCTAACGTGAACCAGGGCACTGCATTCACTTACTTTTTGTCTTGAAGATGGAATTTATTCCTACAGCTACAGTAATTTTCTTCTTCAAACAGGATTGTTATAGACAAGCGTGGTATGAACCCTTAACTGTCACATCTTGAGTGTTAGTATGTGGCAGCTTATAGGACAGTCAATATGGGACTGTAACTTTTCTCTGTATTTTCTAATCTCCACTCCTTCTCTCCTTTCCTTAATCAAACTTAGGAAACAAGGTTGGGTAAGAGGACAGAATATTTTAAATCTGTTAGATTGACAAGGAAAAAGAATTATCCACCAAGATAAATATACATTGTCATCTCCCCCTTTTCACTGAAAATTTTGATTTGACTTAATTAATTTGATTTAATTCATTTAATTTGATTTAACTTTGACACTGAGGTGTAATAGTCTATTTTGGACACGTATCTATTATTTTTAATAAGTAAACTCACATTTTCTTAGAACTCACCTTGCCATTCCCCCCTTTTTGATAGTCTGCCAAATTTTAAGACACTGTGAGAGTACCTGATTCCGAAATCAGAAGTCCCTGGAAAATAAGGAAGTCAAAGAAAAGTTCCACTGCAGATTCTCCAGGGGAAGCAAGTAAATCCATCATTTCCTCCCTCTTGTCTTTAGTATGTCTAGCCTGAAAATAGTGTTTGGGATAAGGGAAGTACGGAGAAGAAAGGAAAAGAGTTTAAAAAAAAGAAAAAAAGAACGTTATCTTTTCTAGGTCTCCAGTGGTGGCCTGTTCTGTTCTCTGGATGATTCCACTGCAGGCGAACACGCTCTTCCTTTGGCGTGAAGATGTCGGCGTGTGCTAAGGATAGAAGTCTCTGTGGGTTCCCAAGTCTCTTGTCTCAGTTCTTTTGGGGTTGTCATCTCCAGAGCCGAAGTCCATGGTCTCTGGAGAGCTGGAAAATTCCTGAGGTAACGGGAACTCCTCTGCTGAAGAGTCAGTCCGGTGCCCGAACACCTTTTCCTGCAGCTCGGTGATGTCGTTGCGGATGTCCGCCAGCATGAGCAACAGGAAGTCGAAAGAACCAGGGGGTCCCTGCGCAGGAGAGAGGTGTCAAAGCTAGACCACCACACACCCAACCCCTGGCCGACTGATGGCTTCCGTGGGCTCCGGCGTCTGCTGTCCTGCTGCTGGCTGGCAACTACTTAAGTCAACTCTGTGTCGCAAAGGGACGAAACATAAGGACTACAACAGCCTGGGGGATTCTGCCTTCTATTCCTTCAGCTCCCGGATGAGCTATGGTGACACGCTGACCTCTCGTAGCTCCAGGCTCTATCAAATCGGGTAAAATGACAGAATATGAGAATAAGCCTCCTAGGTTACTTTCCAAAGAACCCTGGAAGACACTTAACGAAGGCAGAGAGCAGTGGTCAAGAGGCTGGGGTTCTGTTGCGTTTGAACCTCAGCTCTGCCACTTACTAGCCGTGTTGCCCTGGGCAAGTTACTTAATTGATTTGGGTTTCTGTTTCCCATCCATAAAATGGGATAATAATACTCCTAACTCTGTAGGGTTTCATAAGTGAGGGTTTAATGAGTTAATGCATGTACAGGGCATGTAGCATAACACATTTTTAAATGTTATCTTTTTAAAAATGAAATTACTAAAATGTCTATAAGGATGGTTGACTATAACTGCAATTTTTAAAAAAAATAAATTTATTTATTTATTTTTATCTTTGGCTGTGTTGGGTCTTTGTTGCCGCGTGTGGGCTTTTCTGTAGTTGTGGCGGGCGGGGGCTACACTTCGTTGCGGTGCGCGGGCTTCTCATTGCGGTGGCTTCTCTTGTTGCGGAGCATGGGCTCTAGGCGCGTGGGCTTCAGTAGTTGTGGCACGTGGGCTCAGTAGTTGTGGCTCACGGGCTCTAGAGCGCAGGCTCAGTAGTTGTGGCACCCGGGCTTAGTTGCTCCGCGGCATGTGGGATCTTCCTGGACCAGGGCTCGAACCCGTGTCCCCTGCATTGGCAGGCGGATTCTTAACCACTGCGCCACCAGGGAAGCCCTATAACTGTAATTTAAACGAAGTTCAGTATATGGTAAAGGCGTCCATTCCTCATTGACCAGGAAAGGTCCAAACGAAGGCTTCCTAATTCTTCTACTGACTGAACACCTTTTGTCATTATAAACTATTTACTAAGCCTTGATTTCTATGAAGTGCTGTGTGGAACATGGGAAAATAATGTGTGAACATGAGTGTTCTGGGCTTCAATCTTTTTTTTTTTTTTTTTTTTGCGGTGCGCGGGCCTCTCACTGTTGTGGCCTCTCCCGTTGTGGAGCACAGGCTCCGGACGCGCAGGCTCGGCGGCCATGGCTCACGGGCCCAGCCGCTCCGCGGCATGTGGGATCTTCCCGGACCGGGGCACGAACCCGTGTCCCCTGCATCGGCAGGCGGACTCTCAACCACTGCGCCACCAGGGAAGCCCTGGACTTCAACCTTTATCAGCCTCTGCAACCCCTGCTTTGAAGCCACCACCTTAGCAAGCAGCAGGACAGCAGCTTACGTAACTCTGCAAAGCACTCAGTGCTGTACGGAGAGCATTCTGCCATCAGTGGATGATCACCTGAGGTGTGGCAGTTCAGATGCCACCTGCATTGCACAGATTAGGGGATGGACACCCACAGATGGATGCTAAGTGACATGGCCGTGATCAGAGAGCTAACAGGTGGAAGAGTGGAGATGGCATCTCACACCTCCTACCTCTAAGGTCAAGGATCTTTGTCTTTCTTCAGAAGTGACACTGACTTCTTCACAAGCAATGGGGTTGCTTGAATCATCTGTGCTTTTGGATACGATTAATTTTCACTTTTAATCTCCCAGACACTATACATCCAATCCAGCTAATTTTGTCTCAATGGTCCTGAGTAGCTGAGCACGTCTGAGCTTTCTGGAGGGGATGGTCATCCAACCTGCTAGGGTTCTAGGGGTGGCTAAATTCTTAAACGTTCAGAGTTATGACTTAACCCCATAGATTTCTTTTCTAGCTCCTTCAGATGTTGTCAGACATACCTGGAAACAGACTCACGACATACTGGGGTTTTGAATCTTAAGAGAAGACATTCCAAGCTATGATAATAGAAACAACAATAGGAAATGAATTTTCAAAAGTAAAACCCAACCAGCTGCTAAAGGCTTCTGTGATTCTTCTTCTAACCACGGAGTTCTCTGTGGGCAAGTTGAGCGACAGCTGGAAGGGGCTGGCTGTTGCTCATAAGACCAACTTACAGGCTCATCAGAGCTGCAGCCCTGAGCACACTGCACTGGGGAAGCAGGACAGGTGGTGCTACTTACTGGAGACCCTCTGGGGCCAGGTGCTCCTCTTTCCCCCTAAGAACAGAAGGGTCAGGGTTAGCTTTCTGGACGACACGGATGCCACCACCCCAGTCTCTATTTAGATACCCCACCACTACCAACTGCCTGAACAAAACAGAAAATATTTCCTACGGGAAACAAACGTTAAGCTTGAAGCTGCACACTTGGGATCGCTGGTTTGAACCGAGCTGCTTTGAGTCAAGTGCCTCTCATTTTGATTTCCCCCTAGGCCATATATTTTCCAACCAGATCTGACAGGAGGAAAGCTGCTATTTCCAGGCAGTGTGTGGAATAACTTAGAAGCCTCTAAAGTAACTCACACTGACTTCTGTGTGAGGCAAGTGGCAGGCAGAATGGGACTTCTCCCGTTCTTGACTTAAACACCACAAAGAGATGGGAACACACACAAAACAGCCCCACAAGTAACACTGGCTAACGAGAAAAACCCACGCTGCCGTGACAGCAAGGAGGCTTGTTTAACATTTATAGGGTAATTTTTCTTAGAAGCGGTTTTGGTGGTTGTTTTTGTTATTACGGTTGTTCCGTATTTTAAGAAAATGGCTTCTTAGATTCTCCTCCCAGCTTTGGGGACAAAACATGTATCTGTGTCTCAACTTCGCCACATGCAAAATGGGGACAACAAACTGTGCTTGAGTTTTACATGATGCCTGCCCAGTAGGTGGAAAGTGAGAAACCTAAGGCTTGTAAGGACCCCTCAGAAGACTTACCTTAGAACCATCTCTTCCTGGGGCACCTGGTGGGCCCTACAAGACAAAGGGACCTAGTTTAACAGAAGGAACACGCCTTCCCCAGCTACAGATGGGAGCGCTGATGAAATACTGACCACGGGGCCCCTCCGGCCTTGCTTAATGTGGGACAGATCAGGAGACGGTCCCATGGGTCCCATTGAGCCCCGCGGGCCGGGCTGCCCGGGGGGGCCTGGAATACCCGGGAAGCCTGGGCTCCCCTTTGGTCCTGGTGAGCCTGCAATCAAAGAACACCTCATTAGTCCACGGCCCGCGAGGAGGGCAAGGGCTCTGGCTGACTGACAAGAGAGTCCAGGAGCCCCATTCAGCCATTTCTCTTCCCTCTCTGACCTTTGCTTTCTGACCTCTCCACTGAGATGTCCCATAGGCAGTCTGAACTTAACACGGCCAGAAATTGACCTCCCTATTCTTTTAAAAAATGTTTATTGACATACAGTTGGTTTACAATGTTGTGTTAGTTTCAGGTGTAGAGCGAAGTGACTCAGACTTCCCCATTCTTTTCTCGGACCTCCAGTCCCCCAGCCACTCAAGCCAGAAACCTGAGAGTCTTCCTACAGATTTCCCTGTTTCCACAAGCTCCTTATCCAATCAGTGACCAGTTCTGTGCATTTCACTTCTTTAACGGCTCACAACCATCTGCTCCTCTGCACCCCCCATCACCGCAGGGCGGTGGTTAACGCAGCTGGGGAGTGTGAGTGTCCAGGTTTCAGCAGCAGGGGGACCTGCCTCTAAATCTTGGACAAGCTGCTTGACCTCTCTGAGCCTTAGTTCCTCATCCTGTAAAGCAGGGCTAATAAAAATCTACCTTACAGAGCAGTTCTGAGCATTAAATGAGACTTTAGATACACATACACACCACTTGGTGTAGCACCTCACACACTGAGGCACTAAAATAAAAACCTATGTTAGCCCTTCCTTTTTTTTAAAACATTTTCTAGAATCAATGATTTTTTAAAAATAAATTTATTTTTGGCTGTGTTGGGTCTTTGTTTCTGTGCGAGGGCTTTCTCCAGCTGTGGCAAGTGGGGGCCACTCTTCATCGCGGTGCGCGGGCCTCTCACTGTTGTGGCCTCTCTTGCTGCGGAGCACAGGCTCCAGACGCGCAGGCTCAGCGGTCACGGCTCACGGGCCCAGCTGCTCTGCGGCATGTGGGATCTTCCCAGACCAGGGCTTGAACCCGTGTCCCCTGCATCGGCAGGCGGACTCTCAACCACTGCGCCACTAGGGAAGCCCTCCTTTTTTTAAAAAAAAATTATTTATTTTTTATTTTTGGCCGCGTCGGTCTTTGTTGCTGCACGCCAGCTTCCCCAAATTGCGGTGAGCATGGGCTACTCTTCATTGTAGCTCTTCCTTTCATTTGCTTCAACTCTCGCCTCAGAGCGAGTCCCTCTGTTTCCCATCAGTCTTGTTCACCCCTCACCTGTTCTTCACACCTCTCTATGAAGATTATTTCTGAGCAAGTCTTACTGTGTAACTTTCCTACTTTCAACCGTTTGGGGCAAAAGCCTCAAGCCACTGACGTGGGGCAGCAAATCTCCTGCAGGACCCAGGGGGATGGCTATTACTATTAGAGGAGGGGCAGCAAACTCTCCGGCTCAAGATGTGCCACGGATACAAGCCAGAGTTGGGCTGTCACAGGTGGGGAGAAGACCTTACCCTAATGCCTGGACGCCCAGCTCATGCTTCGTGCTGCAGCTGGACCAGGAGAACTGAAAGATCCTTGAGCTCCACAGCTCCACCTCGGAGTGGTAAGTCACAGCAGTCTCCCACTGGAGAAGGGGCTGCTGAAAGCTGAGAACCACTGAGAACCGCCCACCGGCACCCTAGGCCCCCGCTAAACATAGAGTAACAGTGTCCTGCCATCGGAGGAACCTGAAAACTTGAAGACTGTGGAACACTAGAGGTAGAGGCAGTGAGAACACACCCAAACCTGGCTCAGTTGTTCATGAGACTGACCCAACTCTTCTTGCCAGCAGCCTGGATACCCAACTCCAGGAGTAATTACTTTGTCCCCCAGTCTCTACTGGTCCTCTCCGAATGGTATCTGGCATTCAGTCCAAAATTTTGAGGCATGTTATAAAAAACCAAAAACCAAACAAAACCCAACCCCCTCCCCGATTAAACAGCCCCCATTCAAGAGACAGAGCAATCGACAGAATCAGACTTAGAGGCGACCCAGATGTTAAGGTTATCATACAGGGACTTTAAAATCACAACGTATGCTAAAGGTGCTAGAGGAATAGACAGCTTGCCTGAACAGATGAGGGAATTTCAGGTCTCTTTTTGCTTTTGTCATCTGTGCTTTTGGCGTCCTATCCAAGAAATCACTGCCAAATCTAATGTCATGAAAGTTTTTGCCTATGTTTTCTCCTAGGAGTTTTACAGTTTCAGGTCTTACATTTAGGTCTTTAATCCATTTTGTATATGGTGTAAAGCAAGAGTCTAACTTCATTCTTTCGCATGGGGAAGGATATTGTGTTTTAACCCATTTTAGCCTGTCAACTTTATGAGGGCGTGGGTTATATCTTAATCGTCAGCACACGCCCAGAGAGGCCCAGGTACAGAGAAGGCTGCTTAGTAAATGTGTCATGTCAAACGACTGCAGTGAAGAGGCTGGGCTGGCTGCTGTGCTATAATTATTCCTCAGCGATGCATTCCTTAGTGCTATAATGATTCCTCTCTTTCAAACGCACACGGTAATTACTTCTTGATCGTACGCGGCTCCTACAATCGGCAAGGAGCAGTGAGAGGATGGAATGGCTTTCAGGCACCAGAAAACAAAACAAAACAAAGACTTCAAACTTATCATGTTTGGGGACGTCTTTTCTAGCTCACAGAATAATTGAGCCAACATAAAAGGCAGTCAATGTTCCATCCAAGTATGTCTCTCACCCCCTACTCTCAATGCTGGTTCCAGGTACATCCTGAAAGAGTTCATCTGGGAAGGGGACCAGATCCCTCTTACAACTCTGAATATAAATATAATATTTTTATTATATATTATATTATATAAAATATTATACTATAATATTTTATATAATATAATATATAAATATAATATATATATTTATATATAATATAGTATATAGTATATATATAATAAATATATTATATATATTATATATATTATATCATATAAAATATAAATATTATGCCTCTGATAGCACAAGGACAGGCCAGAGGTAATATCTCACCTTCATTTACACAGTCAATGAACTTCAGAGATCGTTATGTCAAGTGCCTTTGAAGTGTGGGGCTTTGATGTACAAACGTCAGCACCTTATAAAGGAAGAGTGGGGGTCACAGAACAGCAGCCACTCCCTCAACACCAAAGCCAAAGGATTCCAGCCTAGTAGAGCTTCCTGTATTGGTGGCCCAGGCTGTGATTTATCACAGACTCCAGGACTGGAATTTTAGTTAAGGGTAAGAGAAATCTTATTATCTCTCTAGTTGCCCTAACACATCTCAACTGAGGGCATCACAAACTATGATGCTAGAAGTAAGGAGAGAGAAGGAATAAGGATTGGAGGAGAAAGCAAGGGCATAGCCCATTGCCAAAGCTAGTCCTCAGTCACTCCCTGCTCCAGCAAGGACCCTGGACAGCTCAAACCATGCTAGAAACCAGACGGCAGAACTGGAAAGGAAAGCTAACAAGTCATTCATTAAGTGAGAGAGTGGCAGGGACTTATATACACTACCAAATGTAAAATAGATCGCTAGTGGGAAGCAGCCACATAGCACAGGGAGATCAGCTGGGTGCTTTGTGACCACCTAGAGGGGTGGGATAGGGAGGGTGGGAGGGAGGGAGACGCAAGAGGGAGGGGATATGGGGATATATGTATATGTATAGCTGATGCCCTTTGTTATAAAGAAGAAACTAACACACCATTTTAAAGCAATTATACTCCAATAAAAATTTTAAAAAAAAAAAAAAGAAGAAGAAAGAAGCCAGTGGCTCCCCTGTTCCTACTTTGTCCTTGTTGAAGTGACAGGTAGGCTGCCCTGGGGGATGAACTTCCTCCAGGGAAGCAGAGCGAGAACATTCTCTTAGAGAAGGATGGAGAACACTGCAAACAGTCAGTTTGTAAGGAGAGACCTAAGTCTACTTAGAAGCAGCAAGAGGCTGCCCGTGTGTGGCATCTGCTGGAGAAAACTCAACCACGACCCAGGGGCCAAAAGAGAGAACGAGAGGAGAAACCAAAGTCCTGGACCAGTTCTTGGTCTCTGTACAGACTGAAACCCAGGCCACCTGGGTTTTGATGGAAACCAGGAGATGAAGATATAAGTGGAGAAGAAAACATATAGTTTGGGAAGCATTCTGAGCCTTTGTTTTTGCTGACCTTCCAGCCTAAAATCTGCCCGTGTCCTCTGTGCTTGGACCAATCCTACCTCTCGTGTTCTTCCAGGTCCAGCTCAAGCCCCAAGTCCCCTGACCACTGCAGGCTACAGTGATCTCTCTCTTCCTTAAGCTTCCACAGCAGGAAGTACCTGCATACTTTACTTGGGGGCAGGCAGGTACTGTTTTATTCTGTTTGCTTTCACTTTATGTGTCTTGTCATCCTCGTTAGAATGTCAGGAGGTCATTCACAACACCTAGCACAGTGCTAGGCGATGAACATGAGGGATAAGACATCCGTATCTTAGAGTCATTTGTTAACACTAATATAAAAAGTATTGATGTATCTATGGAGGGACTCCTAATAAAACAGAAAACACCCTGTTGTTATTTTTTAAAGTTCTCATTGTGTATTGCCTGACGGAATGATAGGAAATTTGGGATTTTCTTCAGAGTAACAAGGGTGAATCTCCAAAACAGTACGCGGAGGAAGCCAGACAGAAGGAATAGATTCCTTTCTATGAAGCTGTAGAACGGACAGAACTGCAGCAATAGAAAGCAGGTCAGTGACTGCCTAGAGCTGAGGATGTAGATTGCCAAGGGCACAGGGGAACTTTCTGGGATGATGGAAATGTTCTACACCTTGACGTAGACCAGATATAGGGTGGTGGTTAGGAAGTGCTTGATATAGGGTGTATGCATCTGTCAAAACTCGTCCAACTGTATCTTAAGTGTGTACAGTTTATAGTATAGAATTGTACCTCAATGAGATTGACTTTTAAAGGAAAACAGAGAGATAAATATCAATGTAAGTGTGTTCACAAATAACAGGGGAAGGAGGAGACAGGATTGGGGAAGAGTGGCAATGAGGCTGGCCATAAGGTGTTAGCACCGGGCGATGAGCCCACAGGAGTTCATTACGCCATCCTACGTTCATATACGTTAGTGTTAAAAATAGTTTTCATTTTGTTTCTCTGTAACTTAAGATTATCTTTATGAATCTTGTCCAAACCCAGGACAATGACTTTTTTCTCCCTGATTACTATTGGTTAGAAGGGTTTCTCAGGCTTGACCCAATTCCCCGAGGCCCTCTTGGCACACAGGCATGCGACTCCCTGGACCCCGGCTTCTGCTCCCATCCATGGGAGCTAAAAAACTCTGTCGCATCCCCCAACTAAACGTGAGCTCTCGGCAGGCCCTGGCTGGTGAGCCTATCACCCTTTTATGCTATTTGCTTTCACTCTATGCTTTTATGCCCTTCTTTATACTCACCGGGGGGGCCCTGGCCCCCAGGCAGGCCAGGAGGTCCTGGAATGTAGGCATTTGAGGCCAGCACCTTGTCACCAGTGATGTACTTGCCCAGGCCCGCAGCGCTGTTGGGTAGCAGGGCAATCTGCAAAGAGAAGAGGAACCTGGGTCAGGAAGCACCGACGGCTCCACTGCCAGGGAATGCCCTGCGCTTCTGTGGTCTGCAGAAGCCACAGAGCCTTTTCTTGTGCATAAGCCTTTATCCGAGCCAGTCAGAGTGCAGACGGACGGTAGAGATCCTCCTTATAAACCCGGAGGCCTTCTAGTCAAAACAACTTGTACAAGATCACTCCCCTGGTTGCTTAGTGGGTGAACCTGGACCAGTTCCAGCCTGCCTAGATACCATTAGACTCGTTATCATCATAATTAATACAATCCACCTGTTTCAGACTTTTATTAAGAACTCATGTCTCAAATATTTGAGAAACTACTACGTGCCAGGCCCTGTGCTTCATTCTAAGGCGACAACAGTGAACAAGACATGGTCCCAGCTCTTACAGATCTCCGCCTTGAGAGCCAGGATGGAAAATATGACTTACAGGTCACGTGTACGCTCAGGTGTTTGGGAAACAGTGACTGTGATGGCTTTAAAATATGTCCACAAATTTTTGGACACTGCTCCCTTTAAAAGGTGGAGGCTAATTTTCTGCCCTCTGAGTGTGGGTTGTGCTTAGGGACTTGCTTCTAATGAATAGAAAATGACGAAAGTGACGGTGTGTAATTTCTGAGATAAAGTCATAAAAGGCACCGTGGCTCCCTGCCTCTCTCTCGCTCTCTGATTTCAGGAGCTCATTCTAGGGGAAGCCAGAGGGACCACACACGTGAATGACCTTTGCATTCCTTGAGGTCAGGAATCAGTGAGGCCCTTGGTAAGAACTGCACGCTCTTAATGTCAATTTCCTCACTGATAACGCCCACCATTAAGACGTGAGGATTACACAGGTAGTGTGTATCAGGTGCCCAGCACAGGACCTGAAATGTACTAAGTGCTTGATAAATGGTAGTTCTAGTCTCTTCCTTCCAGGAAGCTAATTCAGGGGTATAAAATCCAGTGGAGACTGTGTTTTTGAGGCTCAGAGCTACCCCCAGAGGATTCACTCGGGATCCTGGAGTCCCACAGAAACCAAGTATCACTGCGATTTTCTGAAGCAAGTTGCATTTGTCACCCACATCCTCCTGGACGAGGCCCTGCTCGGGGACCCTCTGGCCAGAGGGCAATGCAAGTTACGAGAAGGTCCGTGGATATCTCATCCTTGCCCGTGGAGCGCTCCGAGGCTCTACACCCATCTTCGGATCTGAGCTGCGGAGAGAGTTTCCTACCACCTGTTTGTGATCAGAGGTGGCCAACTGCCACTGTGACAGAGTTGTGCTCTGTGGGTTCAGCATGAGCACAGAGTGCTAAATTAGAAATTGTGCAAGTTCTCCCTCTGAGGCTTATGTCAACTCCAAATTACTACAGCTTTTGGTGATAAGAAATATAGACTTGAATGTTGATTTGAAAAACCGTGGAGTTGGGGACTTCCCTGGTGGTGCAGTGTTTAAGAATCCGCCTGCCAATCAATGCAGGGGACACGGGTTTGATCCCTGGTTCGGGAAGATCCCACATGCCGCAGAGCAACTAAGCCTGTGTGTCACAACTACTGAGCCCGCATGCTGCAACTGCTGAAGCCCATGCGCCTAGAGCCTGTGCTCCGCAACAAGAGAAGCCACGGCAATGAGAAGCTTGTGCGCCGCAACGAAGAGTAGAACCCCGCTCGCTGAAACTAGAGAAAGTCCACGCGCAGCAACGAAGACCCAATGCAGCCAAAAATAAATAAATAAATAAAAATGAAGTGAAAAATTAAAAAAAGAAAGAAAAACCCTAGAGTTTACTTTCCTACTTCACGGGCAAGTCAGCATTTCTCACCTCTTCTTTTCTTCCCCACGGATTTCCTCCTGCCCCAGGGAGACTAGACAGTCCCAGTTGAGTTCAACCACGCCACACGAATAACCCCTGGGGTCTCAGGGCACCTGGGTTGATAGTAACAAAGCAGGGAGGTGGAGTAAAAGATGATCGTGAGATCTTGAACCCCCCCAAGCCTAGGCCCGAGGAATTTATGGGGAAACTACAAAATCTACCTACTGAACTGCAGCTAAGAGACCAGTGTGTGAATGGCACTGGGAGGCTTGGGAAAGTTCTGCTGTCCAGATGACCTTCTCTGGCTTCATAAAGTCCTCGGCCTCCTGCACTGGTGTCTGTTTCTGAGCACGGAGGTTTGGGAATGATTAGCATGACTATTTCCAAACATGACTCTGGAGGACACCCCTGCCCCAAGATCTCCTTCTCCTGCTGGGGGGCTGCTGGGTTTGGGGCCATCTTGAGCCAGATGTAGAAGCGATGATTTTTCTTAGTTACAGAGACAGATGTTCTTGCTAACAGAAGAAATCCAGTATGAACGAAAAGCGAACATCACAATAATACGTGGTCTGTATGTTGGCAAACGACTTGTACCTGCTACATCTGACGGAGAACAAATTCTTCCAGCTCTCTGCAAGGTGACTGTCCAAGTCCTGTAGCCCATTAGCCCCTTAATGAAGTGCTTGCAATGTTTCTAAAAGATGAAACCGTGGGAAACCACGAGAAGGTTCTGGTGGTATCCCTGCAGCCTGGCATACAGAAGGGGCGGGGCCACGAGGCCTGAGGTGTTGCCCTGCTCCTCCTGTCCACCCCCCTCGCTCGCCTGCAGAGCACACGTCAGGCTCTCCTGGATCAAGGCCTTTTCCCTGCTTCAGCTGCCCTAGGTGGCCTATTTGAGCCTAGGATCCTCCTGTGGCTGGAAATTCCTCCACAGTTTTTTTTTTTTTTTTTTCCTTTTCTTGGAGTTCTTACTGAAATCCATTCAGTTCACAGTGCAAGGATACTCAGAGGGCAGGAAGCTCAAAGAAGCACCGACACTCTCTTCCGAAGGGTCCCTCAGTGCTTTTGGAGCCCCTTAGCTAGTATGAAAATCCTTGGGTAAGGACAGCCTTGCAGGTCCATGAGCTAGAAGATTCCTGACCATCCAGTGCGTTCCAGATAAACAGTCTTCTTCTGCGCTTTGAGAAGACCCAGTGTTCCCCAAAAGATGCAAGGAAACACACTCAATTCCCCTATGATCATCGTTTAGAATTCAGTAGGGAAAACGATAAGAATTACAACCTTGCGCAATCTGAAAGCCAGCTTTGCACAATTTCAGGTCAGGGTTCATGGTTCAGTGTCACTGCCAGGACCCAGCTACATCCCAGGGGTTTATTTACAATGGTGCTGGCGTCACTGTGTCACCGCGAGAGGCCACTCCAATCTGTGACTGCATGCCTGGGTCGTGGGGTGGAACGGGGGTGAATCCCTGAGTGAGGAGAATTTAGAAGCGAAACTACTCTAACTAGAGGACAGAGGGTCAACACTGGCCCTTGAAGCCTGGTTCAATTTTATTATCTGCTTCCAAGAGAAAAACTAAATTGTGAATTTTATCTGTGGGTTTTGGCATTAGGCAGATCTATGTTTAAATCTTAGCCCTGCCGCGTTCTACCTGTGGGATCTTGATAAGCTATAGAACTAATTATTTCATCCATATAACGAGGATCGTAATATCCACCTAAGAAGGGCTGCTGGGAGGATGAAAGTGACGATGTCCTGAACGTGCCTGGCCCAGCGCCCAGACTAGTAACCGGCAGCAGCCAGGACCGCGGACACAGTGCAAATGCTCTTCGGGGTGGGATGGGGTCAGGGGTTGAGGGGATGCTCCTGGCTCTGTTTATAAATAGCGGGATGACTTTGGGTAAGTCCCTTCACCCTTCCAGGTTCTCACCTTCACGCTTATAAAACGAGAGGTTTGGGCCAGACGAGCAAGTCTTTGGATGTAAAATTCTGTAAGCAAGCTGGGAGGATGAGACCGGCACGTGGAGGGACTTCAGAGATTAGTCCCCACCCACCCTGGGCCCTCTCCAGCTCTCTTCGCTCCCTTGTAAAAGTCAGGAGGTGACCCAGTAAACGCTGACCTCAGCTTCCTGGCTGACCTCCTGCTGGGTGATTACATCCCGCTTCCCGCCAGTTCCTCTGTGTGTCAGCAGGATGAGAGGAATGTAAAGGCACTGGCGTTTTAGAGGTGGCCCTCCAGAAATCCTGGCTTGACCGTCTACCCAAACACAGCAGATGACAGGCTTGAGGGGTGCAGGTGTTTGGGAAGAAGTCTGCATGAAGAGTCTGCATTTCTCCTCGATTCCAGTCAGTGGAATTATGAATATCATTATCTCGTATTAGCCTTCGTAATACAAATACCTACCTCACAGGGCTGTTGGGACGAATCAGACGCTGCCTGTAAAGCACTTTATTAGGACATATAATTCATGTTTATTATTTAGTCGGTACACATTTACAGAGCTCTTTCTAGGTGGCAAGGACTGTTCTAAGTCCTTTACAAATATTAACTCATTTGATCATCATGAAAACCCTACGTAGTATGTATCACTGTTATCCACTTTCTCTAGAATTGAGGCACAGAGAGGTTAAGTAACTTACCCAGGGTCACACAGCCAGGAAGTAGTGGGGCTAGGACTTAAACTTAGCCAGTCTGGTTCTGGAATCTGTGGTCCTCACCACAACACCCAGCTGCCTCTCTTAATATTACTCATGATACTTGGCAAAGCAATCTACAGTTACTTTCGTATAGAACAGTCTTCCCAGCCATCCTGAGAAGACCCATTTTACAGAGCAACTAGATCAAGGTAGCAGAGGAAACCATGAACCATTGAGAAGCCATCTATTTGCCCAGCACTAAAGGCAGCACTGAAGCGAACAAACGCAGCCGTCAGGTTGCACATCTGCTCACACTTCTGAAATCGCATTGACCTCTAGCTTCTGAAGCCTCCACTGCCTGCCCCACTCCACTCGGCCATTGTGTTAACTCCACTGTGGGCTTGGTTTCCCAGCTAAGACAGGAAGCTTATTTAAGGCAAGCCTTTATTCTGTCCGTTCTCGTCATTCGTCATCTCCCAGCCCATCACAGGCCAGAGCGGGTGCTCAACAAACACTCTCACTTCCTCAACTGCTCCACAGCAGCGCTGCTCTCAACTCAGATCACCCCTGCTGCAGGAACACAGGGACCTGTTAAAAACTTGCTCCTTCCATTGTGTATATATACACCACATCTTCCTTACACATTCGTCTGTTGATGGGCACTTAGGTTGCTTCCATTGGCTATTGTAAATAATGCTGCTATGAACACTGGGGTGCATGCATCTTTTTGAATTAGCATTTTTGTTTTCTTTGGATATATAAAAAAGAATGAAATTTTGCCATTTGCAACAACATGGATGGACTTGGAAGGCATTATGCTAAGTAAAGTAAGTCAGAGAAAGACAAATGTGTTATCATTTGTATGTGAAATCTAAAACGTAAAACAAATGAATGAATATAATAAAACGGAAACAAACTCCCAGATATGGAGAACAAACTAGCGGTTAACACTGGGGAAAGGGAAGGGGGGAGGGGCAGAATCGGGGTAGGGGATTAAGACGTACAAACTACTATGTATAAAATAAGTAAGCTGCAAGGAAATATTGCACAGCACAGGGAATACAGCCAATATTTCATAATAATTTAAAATGCAGTATAAACTACAAAAATATTGAATCACTAGGTTGAACACCTGAAACCAATATAACACTGTAAATCAACTATATTTCAATAAAAAAGTCATACCTGAAAAAAAAATTTCTTCATACCAGTAAAAAATAAAAAAAATAATAAATTAATTAAAAACTGGCTCCTTGGGACTTCTCTGGTGGCGCAGTGGTTAAGAATCCGCCTGCCAATTCAGGGGGACACGGGTTCGATCCATGGTCCTGGAAGATCCCAAATGCTGTGGAGCAACTAAGCCCGTGCACCATAACTACAGAGCCTGCGCTCTAGAGCTCGCGAGTCACAACTACGGGAGCCCGTGTGCCACAACTACTGAAGCCCGTGCGCCTATAGCCCGTGCTCTGCACCAAGAGAAGCCACTGCAATGAGAAGCCCGCGCACCGCAACGAAGAGTAGCCCCCGCGCGCCGCAACTAGAGAAAGCCCGCGCACAGCAACGAAGACCCAATGCAATGGAAAATAAATTTAAAAAATAAATAAATTTATTAAAAAAAAAAAACTGGCTCCTTAGCTCAGATTTTTCTTCAGTGTTCTGATGGGACAGAGACCCCTCTCTGCAAGTCAAATGACGGGTATTTTATCTATACCCGAAACTCTCTTTTTAGCCAAATCACCTGTTTGTTTGTTTTTTTCCTTCCCAAAACACAGAAGAAATTGTAGAGGTGAAGGCACTGGGATCTGCACATCATTTCAAAAAAGCTTTTTCACTGGAAAATAAAGGCACAGAATCTGGAAACCCCACGAAACAAATCTATATCTTAGCAAATTATTATAAGGCAAACACCCTTTTATTGAACACCTAAGTCAAAATTCAGAAATTTGTCAGGGACTTCCCTGGTGGTCCAGTGGTTAAGACTCTGCACTTCCACTGCAGGGGGCGTAGGTTCGATCCCTGGTGGGGGAACTAAGATCCCACATGCAGTGCGGCCAAAAAAAAAAATCAGAACTTTGTCTACATGCTTTGACTCAATCACAGCCTTCTCCCTCCCTCCCTGCAAAGTAACTACTATCCTGATTTTAATCACTTCCTGTGTTTAAAAAAAATAATTTATCAAACCCAACTGTGCAGGCCCAGACACTATGGTCTAGTCTTGCCCACTTGAAAAAACAATATGTCTTTTAAGCTGCTTTTAAGCTGCAGGTCGCTGCTCCACTTTTCTTAGAATCTATCCACTGAAGAACACAGGGCATTGGCCCTGTAGAGTTTCACACGGTTGGGATTTTGCTGACTGTACAGTCATGGTGTTGTTCAACATGTCTGCATACCGTTTTATACTATGGGGCTGGCCACGGTCCAGGACACCCGGTAACCTACTTCTGAGCCAATGTTTATTTGGGCAGCTGTCCCATGTTCTTTTTTGAACAGAACAGATGGCATCAGCAGTAGTGAAAGGAAGTTAAAAATCAACGGACAAGCCCCACACCAGCACAGGAGCAGCAGTGAGGAGGCCTAGGGTTTAGGGTCTGGCCTGCGTCTTGGGCTGACACCGCACCTCTCTGCCAATATCAGCATCACGGTGAGAATTAAATGGGGTCCTGGATATAAAACGGCTTTATCAACTGCAGAATGTGACATGTTCTACTAGGCGCCTTTAAAAATGCGTTGTTTCTTGTGACGCTCCTTGAATGCCAGCTTTAGCTCAGACTTGACACAATGCACTTGTAGGAGAAATCGGTCTAAGGTGGAACAATTCCAGGCCAACCCCGGTGCAGGAGAGTTACTGGAGTACTAACAAGTATTATTAGATCTGTGTGTAGCTCAGCCACAAGGGCTTTAAGGGTAACATAAAATTTTCAACTTCTTCGTAACATTTCTTCTTTCATGGATTGTAAAACACTGCGGGGAGGTTAAGGGAAAGCCAGATGTTGAATTAGCAACTGAATTTCTGAACTAGTGAGACTCAGCGTCACTGACCCTAAAGAACATTCAGGCTGGAAGGAGCCTCCCCATAGCTCTTGGATTACTGACTCTCAGAGAAGAAAACGGAGGGTAGCCTTAGGCCTTGAGACATTCACCAACTGCCCCCCGCCAGGCCCGACTCCTCTGGCCTATGAAATGCAAACTTCTCCCACGATCCCTTTTTCAGACTCGCTCAGTAAATACTAACATCAATCCAAGTCCAACGTGAGGATATCTGTGTGGGATGTATTACTCATAACTCTGAATTTATACTGATATACTTGCAAGGTTTTCTGCCTGGTCTCTCTATTGGATCACAAGCTCTTTGGAATCTGTACATCATACACATATATGCCTCTGCTAAAGTTGCTAGATCTTCACCACCAACGTGCCAAAGGCCCGCAAAGCCATTTATCTTCTCAGCCTACTGACCTGCCTGTTCCACTGGAAGCTGTGGATCTCATTAGGGGCTGCCTGCATGTTTGTTGGACACGTGAAAAGCAACACTGTCTAATCTTACCCTGCTGCCCTTTACAATACTAGATGCCAAAGTTAAACAGATTAGATACACCTCTTCGATGTACTAAGAGCCTTGAGGGGAAGCAATTAAACAAACAAACCAGCAAGTTTATGTTTTACAAGCGTAAGAGCAGTTTCCGAGTTGCCGACAGACTGGTGAATTCACTGACCTGAGGTACGATAAACACCATCGACCTGGGCACAGGGCAGTTGCTTAAGCTTTCAGGGCACTAGGCGCATCCCAGGGGCGTTACTCACAGCACAAAAATGTTACCAGAGATATGATGCTGTCAGGCATGCGTGGGGGCCTGACAGAGAGTCAGTCCTCACCCTTGGCGACACCGGGTATCTGAGCAGCTGCTTTCTGAGGCGTGTGGAGCCCAGAAAGCACAGGTCGTAACTTTTAAATGTGAAAAATAAAGCTGCTACAGAACTACATCACCCGTGATGAACGTTTATAGAGAAGATGTTCTCTGTTGATAAAACATCGGCAAATGATTCTACCGTATTCTATTTAGCACTGTGTAAGGGCCACGTGTCTGGATGTTCATTTCCCAAAAAGTCACACGAGTCGTTCCTCACCCTCTGCTTCACCACGTGCCCCTTACCTAGTGGTCTATGTTACTAGTCACCTGGTCAATCCCCTGCCTTCGTTGTTCCGTTGAGCTATAGATAATGAGCTCCAAAGGTGGGTGGGCAAAGCGTCCCAGGCCAAACCTAGTTGGCACCAAGCTCAGAGAATACCCAGTGAGGCTGTGGATGACAGTTTCTTATTGTTTTCAGATGTTCCTCCACTTTGCCTCCACCAGGCCTTCCTTTCATCTTACGCGACCGTTTCTAACACGCCCGGCACGTACCTTCTGCTTCAGCTGCAGCACCGTCTCCTTCATCTGGTGAAACTCCTTGCACGTGGCGCAGCAGGTGCCGGCTCTCACCGCGTTCTCCACCTTCTCATCGTGCCCTGAGAGAGAAGACGGGCTGGGGTCTGCCTGGGAGGCTGGGGGACATCCAGACCCAGGGAGACCGTGTCAAGAAGGGCAGTTCCAGGCGGACTGGTTGATGCTGAAACGTGCGAGGGATGTGGGCTGGCGATTTTACAGTTCTTGGGTTGCTGACGGCATGCCCGGGGCAGCGGGGACACGGGGAGGGGCTCCCCCGCTACACTCTGGGCTCAGCTGTTTCCACTTAGGCATCCTAGCACCCTCCTCTTTCATTGTGAAAAAGTCAACAGTGGCCCTTTTACCATGAGGCAGGCTCTGTCAACCTGACATGACTTACACTCCCCTCCAAGGGCCAACGTTCACACGCTGTAAATTATCCCCCAAGCCCAGGCAATGGGACTCGGGCGCAGGGCTCACGAAGCTGGCTTTTATCACCTCTGATAATCCAGCTGTTCAAAGGAAGCACGGCCAGGCCAGGCAGGGTCACAGACCGGGGCTGGGCACTGACCTCCGAGGAGATGTAAAGCCAGATGGAAGATGCTCCAGGCACTTGGACATGCCCATCCAGGGCCATAATGGGACAGGCACAAGGCAGGGTCCCAGTGCAATCCTGTAGCGCATCAGGACCTCTGTGGGCTTTGTGTAAAATCATATTTCTCTAAGGAATAGGTGAGTTAAATGGTGACACGACCCAGTATCCACATAGCCCTCATCCTACTGGCACCTGAACAGGCCACACAAGCCTGTGCTGGGGACACTAGACACCTGAGGTCATTTGCTACAGAAGAGCAGGTGCAGACTCCCATAGGCCTTTGTAAAAGATGGTAGCTGTGCGGTGTGGGCCCAGAGGGAGTGACAGGGGGAAGGTGACAGTTTTGGTCAGGGTGGCGGCAGGACAGTCTGACACCCGGGCAAGTGTCAACTCTCCTACCTTTGAAGCCCTTTGGTGTTGGGCCAGGTGTCCTGTTGGTGTGACACGTATAACACTAGGATCTGGAAAGTAGCTAGGGACAGTCAAGTGACATGTCTCTCCAGGTCATTTCTTCTGCTTCTGGGCCCACGTGCTTTTTTGGACCGTGCTGCACAGCATGGGGGACTTTAGCTTGCCTACCAGGGGTCGAACCCACTGGACCGCCAGGTAAGTTCCAGGGCCCACGTGCTTTTCTTCTTCCCGTCCTCTCTTCTGGGAAGCCTTCTCTGCCGTCTCCACTTGTGGATTCCTATGAGCTACCAAGACCCAATTCACGGGTTGCCTGAGACCCCCCCCTCCCCACACCCAGACACAGCCCTGTCCTCTGAAGTCAGGCAGCTTTACCACGCATCCTACTCAGATGGTGGGGATCCCGGGCTTCCCTATAGAGGAGCTTCTCGTGCATGTGCCACAGGGGGAGCTGCCCAGGAACTGGAGCTGCTTCTTGGTACCTCACACAGTGGATGCTCAGAGTTAGCGAAATGGAACCTTACAGGGTGAACTGTGTCCCCCCGCTCCCCAACCAAGTGCACACGATGAAGTCCTAACCCTTCAGTGCCTCAGAATGTGGCCTCATTTGGAAATAGGGGTCCTGCAGATGTAATTAGTTAAGTTGAAGTCATACTGCTGTAGGGTGGGCCCGTAATCCAATATGACTGATGTTCTTATAAAAAGGAGAAATCTGGACACAACAGGGAGAAACCATGCGAAGATGCAGGCAGAGGTCAGGGTGAGGCAGCAGGAGCAAAGGAATGACAAAGAATTGTTGGCGAAACAGCAGGCGCTGGAGGAGAGGCCTGGAACGTTCTCCTTCACAGTCCTCGGAAGGCGGCAACCCCGCTGACACCTTGATCTCAGACACGTAGCCTCACACCTCTGTCCTTTAAGCCACCCAGATTGTGGCACGGTGGTTACGGCAGGCCTAGGGAACGGGTACACGGGAGGAGGAAGTGGGCATCGGGAGAGCCTCACACTCGGGTGATCCCTCCTCATGCAGCCCCAGCTGCCTCTCCAAGGGGGTCTGTGCCTGCCTGGTGGTCTACAGGGTGACCGGTATTTCTGCTCTTTGGGAGGTGAGGGCACCCAGGGGCAACCTGGCAGTCGAGATCTCAGACTCCTTCCCTGCAGCACGGGGTGGTGGTAGGGGGCCCACTAGCCCTAGCCCTCCCCGCAGCCGGTGGGAGGCCTGAGGCTTGGTGTGCACACACGCTAGGAACACGCTTCCCAAGCCAGCAGGTTGAGGTGGGCGAAGCAGTGCTCTGTCTGGTTGCGTTGCCATAAGCAACACTGTGATTCCCGAATATACAGACTGTAGCTTAGGTTTTCAGCGTGTGATTGGGAAAAGCACTTGAACCTCCGGGAAAGAGGCTGCCTCTTTTTAAATCCTTCCATGTGTGTGTATAACATAGCAGGGGTGCCTTGTTAATCCCCATCTTCTAGGCTAATTCTGTCCCACCAGGAGCTTCCCCACCTCCCCGGCCTCTCCCCACCTTCCACCACGCTCAACCAGAAGCCGTGGGGGATTGTTTCCATTCACACCGTAGCTGTGTCACAACGAGCTGGGTTATGAGAAAGGTCTTCGCTTGGAGACGGTGAAATGCAATTTAAGGGCATGGCCTCCAGGGTCACAGTGCGAGGGGTGCATATCCCAGCTCTGTCACTAACTAGCTCAGAGACCTCAGGCAAGTTATCTAACCTCTATAAGCCCCAATTTCCTCAACCATAACACTGGAACAGTAAAACCTAAGACACAGGGCTATTGCGATGATTATACGGGGGTGATGCCTGTGAAATCCTTGGCACAAGGTCGGGTTCTAGTAAATGGGAGAGGGTGTCTGGCAGTCTTCAGGCCCACCAAGCCCTTTGAATTCTCTTTGCCTGATAAAAGGATTCTTCAAGGATTCTGGGATTAACACAAACAACAGAATGAGGGCAAACTGAGGTTCCGTGACGTCCGGAAGTTATTAACTGCTGTGGGTTTAGAACTGAGGTTTCCTGAATCTGAGCCCAATACCTTTTGCTACAAATCAGGCAATTTCCTTTAGGCTCTTTATCCCCATTTAATGTACCATTTACAACCCCACTTGCCTATGGAGCTTGAACACACCTGAGGAGAACAGGAGTTATTTAGGTTGGTCTCCAACATAATAGTGACACAAGGGAACTTCCACGCAAGAATACACTTGGTGGTAAAGGACTGAAGCTTCACCCAACTTTGGTTGTACTGATGACAGACAACGGTGGACTCCCGCATATGTAGATAACCCCAGCTCTAGGTCTGTTAGGTTTAAGCACAGCTGGGTGACATCCGTCTCTCCAAACCTAGCATTCTTTCATTCCAGGCCGTCTACTGGTCAGTATATGCAATCCCATCTCATAACCCGCCTACCAATCTCATCCATCCCATCTCCCCACCCACTTATCTCTCTCATCCATTTATCTGTCCATCCACCCATTCATCTATCCATCCCTCTCTCCCTCTTAGCCATCATGGAGCATCTGCTATTCACCAGGCCCCATGTGAGGCATTGAGAACATAAAATAAATGAGGATACCTGTTCAGTGCTTTGAGACTGGCCTTCCTTTTAAGGAACCAGCCCTGCTGGCAGAGCCAGGCCATGGTGAACAAGAGTTAAAAGCCCATCCGTCCATTTGTACTTTTGTATACTCAGCTCCACTTACCAAGTGTTGGGATGAATAGGGCAACCTGATATTTTCATGATAACCTCTTTACCAGGTTCTAGACTCTATTTCATTTAGATCATGGAATGTTAGAACTGATACATCTTTAGTTCAGCCTCCGTTACAGATAAGGAAATTGAGGTACAGAGGAGGACAGTAATTTGCTTTAGGTTTCCCAGAATGCCGCGTGCAGTGGACGAGCACTTACAGGGTCCGGATCTGGCACTGTTGGGGCGCAGTGAGCCCGCTATTGGGGGTTCTGCTCAGGACACTGGAGAGCTGTCTGCCAGGTGGGCTCCAGGGCAGTAATTCTCCATGTGGTCAATGGACGAGCAGCGGCAGCGCCAGCCTCTGGGTATCCGTTCTCAGAAATCCAAAATCTCAGGACGGGGGCCTGGTGCATTGTTCTATCAAAGCCTCCAAGTGACTCTGAAGCACGTGCAAGTTCAACAAACACCGCTCCAGGGAAGCAGCTCTGTTGAACAACCTCTCACCTGAAAATCCCTGGCCTGTTCCCTGTCCCTTTGCGGAATTATCAAAACACAGAGAACAAGGGTAACTTTGTCCAAAAGACTTTGGAAGCTCCCGTGCACACAGAGGAACAGAGTAAGGATCACAGGCTCTGGTGGAGTCAGGGGATCAGGATTCGAATCCTGATGCTGCCACTTCGTGCCTTGCAGGTTGGAAGTCACAGCTTCTGTGACTGCCCGTTCCTTGAACGGTAGAACGACAATGACCCCCTGGAAGTTCGCAGAGCAGCGCCTGGCAGGCGGCAAGTGCCCCATAAATGTTAATATCATCGTCATGGTTGGTATCACTGCTTATTAAGTTCTCTACAAAATTACAGATGGGGGGAGGGATCTCTGCACCATCCTCTGGAAAGAACTTCCAGAGAGTTTGAAGACAAATAATTGTGTGTGCAGACCTGGCACATGCCGTCTATTCTGAATTGGGGTTCATCTATCCCGTTGCGGTACAGGATACAGTAACGTCAAACGTGGAGCTAAAACAATCTTCAATAGGCTACGTGAATAATTCGTTTAGAAATGTGGGTAGACATCTCTGACTTGGCATGTTCTCTGTCCTCTCCACTCATGATGTGGTGTCTCTATGACCATGACCATGTTAAGTGAGGCATCGCTTAACATTCTGCTCCAACTCGTTCAGATTTTAGAGGTGCAATATTATTGACCAGCCACAGGGGGTCGCGTAGCTCTAACTTTTACTGACGTAGAGCAGGCTATACCTCCGTAAGCATTAGAAACAGAATTCCTGAGATACCATCTTAGTAATATTTAACCAACTTAGGAAAACTAAGGAATGTTCTCGACGTATTTCATATGGGCAGTCACCAAGCACATTTGGTTTTAAAAGTTGATCGTGCACATCTGTGCCCTGGCGGTAGTGCTCAGCCCGGGTGGCACATTACCACCACTAGGGACAGTGGCGGGGGTGAGGGTTTAAAATTCTTGCCAACCATGCCGCACGCCACCCATCTGGGGGTCACAACAAGGGAAGGCTGTCAGCCTTTTTAAAGCTCCCCAGGTTGACAGCGGCTGATCTATGGATTAGTGGAGCTTGAAAGTTACATGAAACACCTGGCCTTCCCTGAAATAACTGATGTTGGGGGTCAAGGTCACTTTATCAGAAAAGAAACAAAAGTTGAAAAGCAGAGACCAGAAAGCTAATTACTAGGGAGCCAACATATCCTTAATTTGTCTCCACATCAGCGCTACAGACGCCCTGGGGTGCCTACACTGGCTCCAGACATATATTTGCAAAGACAAAAAAATGGAAGTGATGGAGAGTGCCCTTCCCGCCCACTAGCCAGACGGCTTGTGTCCCCACGCCCGTGGGCACATGACCACCTTTCCACGGGCAGAGGCCGTTCTGAGGCCAGCCCTGCTGCTGTCCACTCACTTCCTGAATGAGCTGACATTGTGTTCGATTTAAAATTCCTCTGACTGGAAGGTTACAGACACCAGTCAATGCAAAGTTAAAAAAAAAAAAAAAAAGGGAGGGGAAGGGGATTTAGATCACGTGTGCTTGTACTCCATCATCATTATCTCTTCTTGAAAAAAATGACTGTGATGAAATATTGGGCCTATTAATTAATCTAAAACGGATGAAACTGCGTGGCTGCCTCTGATGTTTCAGATGCAGGGCTGGTCCAGCCCCCTAACTCTCCTTACTGTTGAGCTGAATATCTGGATGTTAATTATTCATCTTTTAGATACTGTAGGGAAAGTTCTCAGTTTAGAAGGTGCTGAGCTGGGCATGCCTTCAAGTCCTGACACTCGCCTAGATAAAGGACAAAGAAATGAAAACTGCACGGGGACTCATGGGGCTGGTAGGGCTTCGGCCACTTTTACTGATGCTAAATCACACCAAATTGTGAAAAAGATTTGTGATGGTAAAAGGGTCTTTAGAGCTCACCTAATCCAACACCTTTGTGTCTACAGAGGAGGAAACTGAGATCCGGAGAGCTGCCCAATGACACCCAGCTGGTAAACGCTGAAGCGGCTCTGGTAACCAGCTCTCCTACCTTCCAAGCCAAGGAACTTTCCGTTGCATCACAGCTGCTGCAGAGATGAATCCAGGACGCTTGCTTTTGTTGCCCGAATCATCAAAACCAGCCCCCCATCTTCTCAGGGGCCCATCACTTAAGTAATGATTCTAACGTTCAAGGCATAGAACGTGCCTGTCCTTTCCCATAATTTTAATTATGGGTACGAATTACTCCCCTCAGTCCCTAACCCCCGACGCCCTTGGTTACCGGCGTTGGAATGTTTTTCTTCATAAAACACTAAAACCAAACGTGAGTCCTCTGTGCCTGTGTGGTGAATTCAGGAGAGACCAGTCACTGAAAATTAAATACTGAGGAATTCTAGAATGCTGCTGCTGCGGGCACAGCACTTGGGATACAATAGAAACAGTGGGACTGTTTCAGTTTTTAAAACTATGCGGGGACTTCCCTGGCGGTCCAGTGGTGAAGACTCCGCGCTTCCACTGCAGGGGCCGTGGGTTCCATCCCCGGTGGGGGGAACTAAGGTCCCGCATACCTCGCAGCACAGCACCCCCCCCACCCTCCCCCCCAGAAATCCCAAACTAAGTGAGTTGTGGTGTTACAAGAAAGCTCAGCCTTATAACCACTAGACGTTCTTACTGATTAAACAGAAGGACATTGCCCATTTAAATCACTGTAAGCAGGAACAAACTCTCTCTCCGGAGGGCAGAATGGCCTGTTTTCACTCATTAGATGCTCTGTAGTCGACAGCCAACAGCTCCCCGCCCCTGGCTTTGGCTGCTTCCTCTGGCGATGACAACATCCTCGCCTGAAAGTCGACCAGATGACTTACCGACTTTGGGCCCCAGGGCTCAGCTCTTTGATGCTTATAAGTTAGAACTTTCCAAACTGTTTTTTTTTTTTTTTTTTCCAGGACACCGTCATCTGTGAGATGCTTATAAGTGTTTCTTCAGAAAATAATTTTGGGAAGTGCAGGTTTCATCAAAATGATCATCTTTTAATGGCAACCTCAGAGCTTTCAACGCACTCACAGTATGAATCCCTGCAGAAGTTGGTGCACAGTGCATTCTCCCCCGAACACCTGAACACAGAACCTTTCGAACAAAGAAAGGCTAATTAACACCTCCCAGGACCCCAGAGTCCTACAGACGACAACAGGGGGAAATGCTGTAATAAATGGTTGATAAAATATGTCTTTAAATGACAGTAATAGTACAGAAGGTACAAAACCAATTAATAATTAAGAATGCTCAGATTTTTTTTACTGAATTCTTAGCCTTAGAAGTCAAAATAGTTATCACTTAAATTCTTGACCTCTTATACTGAAAATTGTGTGTTTGGACATTTTTTAAAGAAAGTACAATTCATCCCTCAGGAAAGGAAACAGAGGATTGTGGTCTCAGGACCGACTCAGCACAAGAGGCTGCTAACATCAAAGCTGCAGTGGGACCTTCCCATGCCCCGGCCCTTGGGCTGGGCTCCTTTCTGGGTCCACACTGCCCAAGAGCGAGGCAGGGGGTGAGCATGTCCCACCAAGGCCCTACCTTGTCACTGCCTCTGGCTCAGACCCATTCCTGGCGTACCACACAGTAAGCAGGGTGACTTCAGAGGGATGAGGCTGGGAAAACTAGGAATTAGTGTAAGAGGTAGAGGCCACCTGAGACCAAAGAACAAGTAGATTCAGTGTATAAAATCTTCCCCTAGGCTCTGGAAATTGCATCCGACTCCTGTGGTCTCGGCTAGCTAAGGTTGCGTCTCTGAGCAGACCACTCTACCCCACCAGGTGGGAAGTGCTCACAGGTGGCCCGCTTCCTACAAGTTAGAGATCCCTACCGTCTAACCCCACCCTGATACTCAGCAGTTGTTGCTGCCACCTCTGCGGTTTCCTCTAGATTGGGTTGCTCAAGGCTGCCCTTCACGCCCAGGTAAACGGGGTTTCACCTGAATAGAAATATAAGGCAAAGACACAACAGGGTTACGAGGTTGGGGACCCCTCGGCCCAAGCCCACGGGCTCCCTGGCTTGGAGCACAGCTGGAAATCCAATTCCAAAATGAAAAATTAGAAAGCTGCTTTCTTCTTGCTAACCCTCAAGTCAGCCCATCACTAATATACCAGTGGCTAAAAATCTGCACCTCATTTTTCAGTGAGATTCTTCCTTTCAAGGAAGGACATAATCTAAGAGGTAAGTTACACACACCCCTCCCCCAAACCTTCTCCACCATGGGACAAAAGTGAAGTGATTTTAATTCTGAGTAATAATTAAAAAGTGGTCTGAAAAAATGTTTTGAAAATGTCTGAAAAATGCCCAAAAGACTGATTACCCCTGCTTTTAAGCACCTCTGGGCGCCCAGGTCCCACATGCTTCAGGCTTTAAAGGGTGTCACACTAAGCTCTCCGAGTCATTCCAATGACCCCAAGCTGCCCAAGCCTGAGCTGACTGCAAGCAGACCTTTCGTGTTACTTCTAATGCATGGTGGCTTCCTCATGACTCAACCCGCTTGCTCTTCAGGATTTGCTTTGTAGTTTTTCCATGTGAGACAGCTGGTCCCCAGCTGTTTGCTGTCCTCAGCTGATGGCAACGGCCTTCCACCCTTTTGTGAATCTCAGGTTACACGGAAGAACCGTGACCTCTTGAGCGCCCAGCACTTCTGGTCCTTCCATTCCCCTGCATTTCTTGGTAGAGATGATTTGCCCTGGGAGCCCCTCGCCATCCAGAGATGGCCAAGGCCCAGCTAACCTCTCCCAGCAGACGACAGTGTTCCTGCCACTTTCCCCTCCCGAGGAGTCAGAGCTGAACTCTGAGCTCAGCAGCTTCCTGGCCTACAAGGGTTGGAGATACAGGAATGCCCTTTCCTTCCTGCCTCCCTCCCCTCCACACTTAAATAAGGCAATGACCCAACATTCAAGCTGATCACATCCCTAAGTGATCAGACACCTTGGTGGAATCTGGTCAAAATAATATAAAGCAGCTTCTCAAACTCTGCGAAGAAAGGCCAGCTTCTAAAAGTTCTCCACGTCAGGGTGCACTGGGCTTGCTAAATACGATAAAAATGAACGACTGCAAAGTGCTTCTCAACATTCCCAGCTTCTGTTTTTTTTTAACCTGAACATGAACCAAATAACAGCTCATAGGTAGGCACGGGGCCACAGACTATACTTTCAGTAGCGCTGAAACGGATTGCTGCGTTACACAGAAGTGTTTCATGTTTCTATTCAGCCCCCCCCTTTTTTTTTCCTTGAGAGAACCCAGTGTTTCTGGCCTCATCTCTGCTCCTCCTTGTTTGATCTCAGTTCGTAACTAAGTTCCACCGATCTGTCCACGAGCACACCACACCTCCGCACTTGGTGCAGAGCTTCTGCCAGTACAAAACCAGCCGCACGCCTTGCTGCTAGCAGGCAGCTCTTTCACTAGTTCTCTAGGGGTTCGACCTTCTACTTTTCTCTTACCCAGATCCCACCTACCATTCATACAAATGCCCCTTCCTGCCCACTGCTTCCTGAGGAAGCCTACTGGGTTTCCAAGTGCCTGCCTGCCCATCCCCCCCCCTCCAATTAGGGGGATAATTTTACTTGCCCTACTCACCAGTGTCGTTGGGGTATTTGTCTCCCTTGGTGCACGTCCTCCCATCATCCTCCTGGATGTAGCCCTCCCGGCACTCACAGCGGTAGCTGCCCAAGGTGTTGATGCAGATGTGCGCACACAGCGTCTCGTTGCTGGTGGCACACTCGTCGATATCTGGGTTTGCACCAAACGCACAGAACACTAAGACAGTTTCAGAGAGATCACTTCCAACACAACAGGCGACCCTGGGCTTGGCCCTTCTGCTAATGTCCGCAAAGGACACTCTGCCAGACCTCCGTCACCGAAGCCTGGAACAAAGCAGGAAGCTACAGATGTGGGCCATTCGTGACAAGAGCACTTCAGGCAGTGTCACCATGGTTACAAACTGATCAGTGATGGGGTTCCTGGTTGTGGCTTTGCCACCACCAATTCTCGTGGCTTGGTGCAGGCACTGCTAGCCTCCAAAGTTCTCACTATAGAACATGGCAGTGAAGCCTGCCCTAAATACTTCTGCAGGGCTCTCTGGAAGAGGAAATGAGATAACAGATGGCAACACATTTTGGAAAACAACTATTGTAGAAATGATTTCCTGCAAAGACCCTAGTATGCCGAGGGTTTTTATGTTCCCTTTACGACCAGAGGTTCCTAACAGCATGGTGGTGACCTAAGGCCACTAGGAACGGCTCCTTCCCAGTTAGAAGACATGATGATTCCTGGGAAAAGGCACTTCTGATAAAAGAAAATAGTCATAATGGGTCTAACGGAGAGCATTTTCCCCAGGAAATTTCAGCCCCATCCATGACCCAAACAGACCCCTCCTGAGTGGTGGAAATGAGCCACGACATCATCAAACAAGTAACCAGAGAAAGTCCACGTGAACTGTGCACATCACAGACTTGCCCCCCTACTGAACGGGTGGAAACAAAGCCATTTCCCAGCAGGGGAAGAGAAGGAGGCCCAAACCCATTTCCCACTCACTGGCTGAAGATACCGGGTGGCGGCCAGGACACACAGCCCCAGACTGTGCACATGTGGCCAGCGGACGGAGCCCAACCTTGCGCTCCAGGGTGCCGACAACATCCCAGCCACTCCCTGGACAAGCTGCCTGGGACCCACCCCTGGCAGGCCTGTGTGCCCACGAGGGGCATGTGGTCATCTGGATGTTCCCTTGGCAGTTCACACTATGTCACCCGTAAGCTAAGATGTCACAGCTGGCGCCTCCTCTGCAATTCCTCAGGCTGACCACGTCCACGTGCCCCTGCCTTCAACCTAAGGGCAAGGCTGCCTCTACTGTCCACAGGGGGAAGGACAAGGTTGAAAGGAGAGAGAAACAGGTGGGACTCTTAACAGACTGCTAGTGTTGCTGGTCCCCAAGCCCCCCCAAAGAAAAGAAATGGGTACCAGAGCTACCGCAACTGAAATCAGAGCCCTGGCACCTGGGACCTCGGATCGTGGTACACATGGGTTTACGGTGCTCTCTGCAGGAGAGCCCATGGGTCCCCCTCCGCTTGCTTGGTGGTCTCAATTCCATTCCTGTTCAGTGGGGGGCGCCATGCCAGGGTCAACTGGGGAGAAACCAGGAGAGCTAACACATAGAACTTCTCTTAAATGGTGCTCTCCAGAGCCCCCCTGGGGCGGAGAAGGGGGCTGCTCATCACAGCTGGTTTATTTTCTATCCAGATGCCTCTGCAGTCTCCTAAGTTCATCTTTGAGCTCATCTTCAAACTTCACTGTGCATCTGTGCATATGTAGATTTCTGCATCCACCCTCAGAGTCTCGAGGGGAGGCCAGGAACCTTTTTTTTTTTTTTAAGCCATAAGCTCAGATGTTTCTGAGACAGTTTAGACAGGCACTGACCACACTTTGATACAAGCAGTTCCAGGGTCCAACGACCATAAACCTGCCTCAGACACCCAACGAGTGCAGGGCTGGGAAGCCTAGTGAGTGAGGGGGGAGGGAGCAAGCTGGTGGCGATGGATGATGCTGGCTTTGCTCAGCTGTGCCCCGGGGGCTGGCTTCAGCTCCCTCTGAGTCATTTCCAGCCTGTCTGCCATACAGACACCTCCTCTTTCCCAGTCTCTCTTCCGGGTCATCTTCTGAGAGGAGGCTTATTCTTGTTTCGTTCTTCCTGCATTTTCACATTTCTGCCCACTTACATTCTGTTTCACCTTATCCTAGTTTTCACTTGGTAATATTCCCCTTCTCCTGCTCTTATATCTCACTGCCAATTAGGATCTGACTGGTACCCACTCCCTGAAGAATCCCTTGGTCATCGTTTGTGACCCCTAGAATAGTACCAACCCAACTCCATCCAACAAGTATCAGGATGTAAGGGGAGGCATCCAAGTGGCTCCTGAGAGCTGGTCCCCACTGATGAAGAATGTTCAAAAGAATCATCAGAATCTAGCACATGCTCAGGACCCAAGAAATAACGTGCATCACCAACGCACCCAGACAGTACGGCTTCTCCCGCCTCCGGTGCCTCTCCCGGTCATATCGGTATCCTGGGTAACAAGTACACAGCACTCGGCCGAAGTTATCTGTGCACTGCTGTTCACAGGGAGCCTCAGCACATACATCATAATCTGAAAAAGAAAAGTGTGAACTCAAAACCACCACAGTCATTCACTAGACGGAGGCGGGGCCCACCCAGCCCTGGTCGGGAACAGACTGTCCAGGCTGCACTCCGCTCAAGGGGAACGGTGGTGTGACCAGCTATGTGTAGAGGGAATTAACTCTTCAGGCCACGGGGCATCTTGCAGGAGGGCTGCAATGGGTAACTGAGTGCTCAGAATCTCAATGTTAAATGGAAATATCACTTGTGATACTCCCTGGGTCAGCTCACCATCCTTATTTTTTTCTTTCTATAAGAGCATCACTACAAACTTTAATGGTGTGTTGATTGGCACAATCTATGCAAGAAGAATGTGCTTACCATGTAAAAGTAACCTCAAATAAATTCATCTAGCGCAAAGATCTTCAAACCGAAGTATGCAATCCCTGCGGTAAAAGGAGATTTTGCTGTGGGTACTTGGACACATATAAATTCAGGAGGGTCAATTTACAGATATTAACTTTCATGTTTATTCTTTCTAAAAATTGATCTACTTGAGGATTTCCACCATGATCAAGAGTCACTGTATTTCTCTTTTGCTGCCTTTCCTTTTTTCATTTTAAATAGAACACCTTTATTAAAATATAATCCACATAGCACAAAATTTACCCTTTTATAGTGTGCAATTCTAGTTGATTTCTGTCATTCATCCAGAGAGCAAAGAAGCTTTAGGTGGCCAGGCTCTGCTGAATTACCTGGGGGCCTGTTTCCTCTTTTTCCCAACTGCTGGAGAGACGAGGAATTCCTTCCAGCTGAATACTGAAGAACAGCCAGCCCTGGCGATGGGCACTGGCGTCCTAACGTGAGGGGTGGGGCGGTGCTGGAAGTCAGGCAGGCTGGGAGGAGCCTGAGGGAGGCTGACTGATGTCTCTGTGCTGTAGGCATGCAGATGGGGTGGGGGAGGGTCGATTCTGCATGGTGAGCAGCGTCTGGGTAAGGCAGAATGGCCAGAGATGTCGTTCCAGCTCTAAGTCTGTGCAAATTGGGGTGGACGCTCTATTCGTCGAGAACCAGGGCATCTCCTCTTTTCTCAGTCCTTACAAACAAACTAATATTTAACGAGCCTCTGAAGGGACTCTGGCTCTAAGTCAGGAGGCTCGGACTGAACATTTACTTCCAGACTAGACCCAGCATCTCATTAATCACTGCACTGTCTCCCTCAGGTGCTAACAGATAAACTATCGCTGAAAACAGAGTGAGCCTGGCTTTGCTCTGCCACATGTGAAAGTGGAATGGGTGGGCTGTCAGCCCCTGATGTGGGTGGGGTCAGCGAGACAAGGAACGAACAACCTGGAGGGCGGCCCTTGCTAAATACTCCTCCCCACGGATGTGATTCCAGGCCTGCGCTTCCTGCATGTGTCCCTGGTCAAATGCGTTTTCTTCACTGAAGCATCACCTCTAGGCAGCCCATGTTCTGTGCTCTTGTTGCTCAAGAGCAAGGTCTCAGCCGTGATTGGCTGTGGGCTGCCCTGCTTGGCCAGCTGTACCCGTCATCCAGCAGCTGCCAGGGAGGGAGGGGAAGAAAGGGGCAGAGTCAGGAGTCCCGTGTTGACTGTTAGGCTCACTAAGACCTGTTTTGACATATATGTGTTAATATACGGTATTTGTTTTTCTCTTTCTGACATACATGTGGAATCTAGAAAAATGGTATACATGATCTTAATCGCAAAGCAGAAATAGAGACACAGATGTAGAGAACAAACAAATGTAGGGACACCAAGGTGGGGAAAGCAGGGGTGGGGGGTGGTGGGATGAATTGGGAAATTGGGATTGACCGTATATACACTATTGATACTATGTGTAAAATAGATAACTAATAAGAACATACTGTAGAGCACAGGGAACTCTACGTAATGCACTGTGGTGACCTAAATGGGAAGGAAATCCAAATAAGAGGGGATATGTGTGTATGTATAGCTGATTCATTTTGCTGTACAGTAGAAACGAACACAACATTGTAGAGCAACTATACTCTAATAAAAATTAATTTAGAAAAAAGATAACAAAATGCTAAAAAAAAAAAAAAAAAAAAAAGAAAGAGAAAGAAAAAGACCTGTTTTGAGAAACAGCAGCCCTGATTTCCTCCTCATTCCAGCTGCCTTGAGGTACCACTTCCAGCTCCTGCGGCTGATTCTTTTATGATTTCCCTCTGCATCTCTAAACAGCCAGCTTGCATTGCTTCCTCCTCCTTTGTGTGCTGAATACTCTCTATGGATTTCCAGTCATGGACGAGACACGTTCAGCTTTATCACGGTTTCTTCAACCACGTCCATGCTTCCTACTCCTGCATTTTGCCCCTGTCGTTACACTGAAATTTTGGTTTTATAAGTCTTCAGTGTTGGCAGCATAATGACAATATAAAAGCTATTTTTTGCTAAGCCTGGAAGTATACTCTAATTCCCTATCCTTTCTTGAAGACCCTTTTGTTTTCCCTGGAATTAAAGTAATTATCTACTACCACATGCACCCAATGTTCATTGCAACACTATTTACGATACCCAAGACATGCAAAGCAGCCTAAATGTCCACTGACAGATGAATGGATAAAGAAGATGCGGTACATATATACAACGGAATATCACTCAGCCCCAAAAAGGAAAGAAATAATGCCATTTCCAGCAACATGGATGGACCTAGAGCATATAACACTAAGTGAAATAAGTCAGACAGAGAAAGACAAATATAATCACTTACAACTGGAATCTAAAATATAATACAAATCAGTTTATTTACAAAACAGAAACAGACTCACAGACATAGGAAACTTATGGTTACCAAAGGGGAAAGAGTGGGGGAGGGATAAATTAGTAGTTTGGGATCAACAGATACACACCACTACATATAAAATAGATAAACAACAAGGATTTACTGTATAGCAGAGGGAACTATATTCAATATCTTGTAATAACCTATAATGTAAAAGAATCTGAAAAAATATATATACAACTGAATCACTTTGCTGTATAGCTGAAGCTAACAATACTTCAACTATACTTCAATAAAAAATAATAATTGTTTTGTATATTTGGGGGGGTAGTTGTGAACTTTCTCTCTTAGCTTCAAACTTCCATTTCCATGAGCTACTTTGTGACTGGTACTCTGGAAACCACATTTCTGCCTTGCTGGCTGCTGGCTTATTAAGTACTGAGAACAGGGCTGGGAGAGTGAGCAAGGTGGAAGAGGAGAGAGACTGAGAAAGGTCTTACAGGATTTAAAGTTTTGAAGTCATGTGTGCCTGAAAATGTCTTTTTTCAACCCTTATGGCTAGTTAGGGTATATAATTCTAGGTTTATATTCTAGGTTTATATTCTGAGCTACCTCAGAATTTTGAAGGAACTGCTCCCCTGTCTTGTAGCTTTCAGTCCTGCTATGGATAAGTCCTATAAGATTCTAATTCTTGATCTTTCAAATCTCATTTTTCCCTCTTTGAAAAATGTTAGTATTTTCTTTTTGCCCCAAGGTACTAACATTTCACAATGATGTCTTTATGTGGGACCCCTTCAATTTTTGGTAGGCTCTTTTAATCTAGAAATTCATATCCTTCAATTCTAGAGAATTTTCTTGAATTATATCTTTAATGATTTACCCTCTTCTTCTTCCTCTGTTCTGTGTGCTACTCTTATTTGGATGTTGCATCCCCTGGACTGGTCCTCTAATAATACTCTCATACTTTTCTTTTACTATTTTTTATTTCTTTGATCTTTTGCTCCAGGTCCTGAGAGATTTTCACAATCTCATCTCCCAACCATTTTCCTGTTCTCATTTTATCATGCTTTTAATTTCCAAGGATTCTTTATTTCTTCTTTGAATGATCTTTTTTTAATAACACCATGTTCTGGCCCCATGGAAGCTATACCATTTTTGTAACTCACTGACATATAAACGGTAGTTACTTTGAAGTTTTCTTCTTTCCGTGTGGTGTTTTCTCTAAGACTCTTTTTCTTTTTTTCCCGTATGTTTCTTTTGTAGGTTTCCCTCTAATGACTGGTGATCCTTTTCCTGTTTGGACGTCTGCTGTAACTGATTCATGGTTAAATACAATAGCTAAAATATAAAAAAATTATAGCTACATAGAAGCAAAGCTATAAAATTAGCTAAATATTGAAGAGAAGGCTATAAAATCAGCTAAATAGAAGCTCTTTGCATGTGGCAGACTTTATAAACACTGGGCTTAATTTTTTTTTTTTAGCATCTTTACTGGAGTATAATTGCTTTACATTGCTGTGTTAGTTGTTGCTGTATAACAAAGTGACACCATCAGCTATACATATACATATACATATATCCCCATATCCCCTCTCTCTTGCGTCTCCCTCCCACCCTCCCTATCCCACCCCTCTAGGTGGTCACAAAGCACGGAGCTGATCTCCCTGTGCTATGTGGCTGCTTCCCACTAGCTATCTATTTTACATCCGGTAGTGTATATATGTCCATGCCACTCTCTCACTTCATCCCAGCCTCCCCTTCCCCCTCCCCGTGTCCTCAAGTCCATTCTCTATGTCTGAGTCTTTATTCCTGTCCTGCCCCTAGGTTCATCAGAACCCATTTTTTTTAGATTCCATATATATGTGTTAGCACACGGTATTTGTTTTTCTCTTTCTGACTTACTTCACTCCATATGACAGAGGCTCTAGGTCCATCCACCTCACTACAAATAACTCAATTTCGTTTCTTTTCATGGCTGAGTAATATTCCATTGTATATGTGCCACATCTTCTTTATCCATTCATCTGTCGATGGACACTTAGGTTGCTTCCCTGGCCTGGCTATTGTAAATAGCCTGGGCTTCATTTAAGTGATTTGCCTGGTGCATTTCAATGTCAGTTTCTTTAGGACTTTTTTTTTTTTGCGGTTCGCAGGCCTCTCACTGTTGTGGCCTCTCCCGTTGCAGAGCACAGGCTCCAGACGTGCAGGCTCAGCGGCCGTGGCTCACGGGCCCAGCCACTCTGCGGCATGTGGGATCTTCCCAGACCGGGGCACGAACCCGTGTCCCCTGCATCGGCAGGCGGACTCTCAACCACTGCGTCACCAGGGAAGCCCTCTTTAGGACTTCTTTCTTGAGTCATCCAGAACATCCACAGAAGACATTTCCAAATCCTTGCCTGACAGTAAAGTCAGGAACTTTTGGAACTCAAGTGGAGAAGAAGGTTGAGTTTTTCAACATTTAATGCATGATCGATCCTTTACTAAATCCTTCCATTTTCATTATCAGAACCCTACCTTCATCTCCGACTGGCACCCTCAGTCCCGACAGCCTCCAAGTACCCTCTCAAAAGAATACATCTCTGGTCTTGTGCTTGGTCTTGGAAGGTGCAATATTCTGTCTCTGTGGAATGAAGGACAAGTTCTGGGAGTCTGACTTCCTCTTAAACAGGTTTTCAGTCAATCCTTCTGTGTTGACATTGCTTTTCACTTCCTCGTACCTCTGTTTCTGGAAACTTCTAGTTTTTCTGGTATTTGTTTTGGTGTAAATTGGATTGCTCCTTAGTTTCCCCTGATGCTGGTTAAGGATTCATCTTTCCCATTTTGCTAAGTTATTTACAACCTCTCTGTTCTCCAGATTCCAAATTTTTGTTGCTGTTATCTCCTCTTCCTTTTTGTTTTTGTGGGTTTATATGTCTTTTGTGAACCCTGGGCATCCACAATACACCTTCCCCCTGCCCTACTTTGTGGGGTTTCTGGAGGTAGCAAGGTTAGTGAACTTATTCAACTTTCCTTTTTTTTTTTTTTGCAGTACGCGGGCCTCTCACTCTTGTGGCCTCTCCCGTTGTGGAGCACAGGCTCCGGACGCGCAGGCTCAGCGGCCATGGCTCACAGGCCTAGCCGCTCCGCGGCATGTGGGATCTTCCCGGACCGGGGCACGAACCCGTGTCCCCTGCATCGGCAGGTGGACTCTCAACCACTGTGGCACCAGGGAAGCCCCAACTTTCCATTTTTGATGGTTTTCCAGAGACCACCAGGTTCCTGCTCTGTAGCTTTTCCCTCTACAGTTGATCTGTTTTCACCTGTCCTATTTCTCTTGGTACCATTCTAACTCAGATCTTCAGAACCTCCCTTGTAAATCCTCATCTCAAGATTCTTCCCTCTTAAGTCCACTCTATGTAACACCGTCAGGCCAGTAATATTCTGAAAGTATAGCTCTGTGAGTGTCGCCACCTTGCTCAAAAAGCCTGTAAATTCTATGCTCATCAACATTAAATATAAATGGCTCACTCTTGCAGTTGAGGTCTGGTGTTCTATCCCTGAGACTACGCTTCCAACCTTAAGACTCATTGATGAATTCCTTACACTTTGATAAGGAATACACTCTCTTCCCCATCATCCCTTATCACATCCATGGCTCACTGTCACATTTTTGTTTATTCTGTTTTCACCCTTTATAATGTCCAATCAACCCCTCCACTCTTACTCTCAACATTTTATTACCGTTGATACCCTATCTGGTTTCTCAGATCTCAATGCAAACGTCACTGTTTTAAGAAGACTTCCTTGAAGTCCTCAACAGAGTTTAGTTTCTGCATCCCACCAACCCCCACAGGACTCGATCCTGCTCTCCCATATTTGCTGCATGCCTACTCCGTGCCAGGCTCTATTCTAGGAGGCATGAAGTGGTGTGATGAAGAGGGTCTGGAGCCAACCCTCCCCACTCTGCCACTCTCTCTGTGATCCCGAGGTCTTTAAGACTCAACTTCCCTCCCTGTAAAATAGGGAGAACAATAAGACCAGCTTCATGGTGCTTTTAGGAAGATTAAATTGGATGATGCATTAAGCACAGTGCCTGACACCTAGTCAAAGCCTGACCTGCATTTTAGCTTCTTTTACTATTAGTTCTAATGATTGTTTGGATATCTGAAAGGAACTGTGTCCCCTGGAGCAACCAGCACTATTCTCTTCCTACAGTTTAAGTACAATTAGTAGTTGCTGAACTAGGACAAATCTGATTACCCTACCCCCCGGGGAATGTAGATAACACTTATGGCAGGGGTTGGCAAACTTTTTCTGTAAAGGGGGCTAGATAATACTTCTTGGCTTTGCAGGGCTTTGTTGAAGCTACTCAACTCTGCTGTTGCAGGGCAAAAGTCGCCATAGGCAATATTGAAGTGAATGGGTATGTCTGTGCTTCAATAAAGCTTTATTTACAAACCAGGTGGTGGGCCAGATTTGGCTCACAGGCCACAAGTTGCGACACTTAAACAAATGAGGCAACAACACTTTTAAATTGCAGCTTCTACTCGCTAGCATATTTGCTTAGAAATTCTAGTCTCTTCCTATTATCTGTAATGGCTAATTTTAAGGGTTAACTTGGCTGGGCCGCAGTACGCAAATATCTGGCCATTTTTCTAGAATTTTCTGCAGAGATTTTTTTTTTTTTTTTAATGAGATTAACATTTAAATCAGTAGACGTTGAGTAAAGCAGATTGCCCTCCACACTGTGGGCTGGTCTCCTCCAATCAGTTGAAGGTCTAAATAGAAAAACGATGGCCCTCCATTGATAAAGAGGGAATTCTGCCAGCAGATGGCCCTTCAGACTCAAACTGTAACTCTTCCTGAGGTCTGCAGCCTGCTGGCCTACCCTGCAGATTTTGGACGTGCCCGCCTCTACAATCTCGGGAGCTAGTTCCTTAAAATAAATCTCTGTTTCTCTGGAGAATCGTGACCAATACACCATCTTTTCTGAAATCCTACACTTTGTGTCCTTGGGTAACAGAAACCTTTATGATGAAAGATACCTTTAGTCATAAACACACACACACACACACACACTGACTTACTCCCACAGAGGAAAACAAATCAACTTTAAAAAGTGTTCTAGTGAAAAGCAATAGAACAGAGTTAATTACGGCAAAGCAACTTTCAGCATTTGGGACCACTTTTCCTGGAAATATTCAGTTTTAAGTTACATTAATCTTAGGTGCTGATAACGTCTTACTGCAGGGTGAGGGAGACTGGTTTTAGGCTTAGATGTTTGAAACCACAACACCTATCATTTAAAGAAACTCTAAGCATGTGGTATCCATGTAATGTGTTTTTAATCAGGTTGGGCAAGGTCCTTAACTGGGATCTTAAATTGATGGGCCTAAACTTCATTATCTTTCTGTATCTGCAAAATTGAAATATAAAGGACTCAGCTGGTGGCTGAGGAAAGCTGGCTTATAAAAGAATGCAATTATTTTGACCTCTGTGTTTTTTTTTCCCCCGCCGAGCTCTAACAGAACTAGCTGGCAGTGAGAAATTCCATCTTGGAGAGACCAATATAAACCAACGTATGTGAAGAGATTTCCTAACCAGCCTTCCTAAAGCAGCTTTCTCAGAGTTGACAGCTATGGTTTAATGATCTCTTCTGCAAAAGAGAGAAATAAATAAGAAGGATTCATTTATCTCTAACTGATAAAGAAACTGCTCCCTACGAGATAATGCAACATAATTAGCTTGGCTGGGCTCCAAGTCCACTAGAGAGACCTGGATTCTTGGCCAACAGTGAAGGAAACTATTTCACATTACCTACTCACCTGTCCCCAGCCCAGCCCTGGGCACACTAATCTCATGCTCTTCCAACAGTTCTTAGTGTTTTCTGTATCAGTGCTCTGCCTGGAATCTTTTACAGTTCTCCTCCTCCTTCTTGTCTAAGTCCTGGGCAGCCTTCCTCATAACCTAGCTCCAAACTCCTCACCTTCTCGAGACCACCTCTGACCGCCCTGGTCTCTGGGACTATGTGCCCCTTCTGCAATACGCGTGTCTCTACTATGCATATTGCAGTTGTTAGTAATAACAGGAACCACGAGTTATCAAGCACTTAATAAGAGCCAGCCTCTGTTGCAAGTACTTTACATGCGGTAATCCTCTTAAAGCCACCACATGAGTCAAGTACTAACACTTTCTGCAAAAACTAAGGTTTAGAAAGTCACGTGCCCAAGGTCATAGCTAGCAGGATGTGTGTTATGGACTGAATGTTTGTGTCCTCCTGAAATTCATATTTTGAAACCCTAACCCCCAGTGTGATGGTATTAGGTGGGGGCCTTTGGGAGATTATTAGATCACGAGGGTGAAGCCCTCATAAATGGAATTAGTGCCCTTATAAAAGAGACTCCAGAGAGCTCCCTTGCCCTTTCCACCATGTGAAGACACAGCAAAAAGATGGCTGTCTATGAACCAGGAAGTGCTCACCAGACATTGGACTTTCCAGTGCTTCGCTCTTGGACTTCCCAGCCTCCTCACAGTCTAACGTATTTTTGTCACAGCAGTGCAAATGGATTACAGCAACGTGGAAGCATGATTAAAATCCAGGTCTCTCTGATTCCATGCCATCCACATGCTGTCTCCCAGCTTGAGGGCTGGGCCCACGTCTTACAACACTCTGTGTCTTCAGTGCTGGGCTGAGCAGTGTTTGCTGATGATCAAGGGGCTTCACATTTAGCAGATGAAAAGCAGGTAGAGAGGTTGGGGAAGATGGCGGTGTTCTAACTGTGCGTGAAATACTGACTAGGGGATCATAGCCTCTACAACACAAAACCAGAGATACAGGAGTTACTCAATATACATGTAAATGCTATGTAATGATTTAGATAGAGCCTGACATGTATAACCAAATTGGCATTAGAAGAATTCAAAGCCAAAAAAAGGGAGAAATTACACGTGCATGCACCGATAACATACATGTGTTCCATGTACATCTGAACTTTACAGACCTCTGGTTATTAGTCATAAACAAGGTGAGAAGATATAATCCATTATATTACATACCTTCTGGGATGCATTGTCCAAGGACAAATTTATACCCTTTGCAGCACTTCCGCCTAAGAGACAAACAAAATGTGATACGTTAAAAATAAAATTCTTTACAATTAGCGATTTTGAATGAAATAACTTGTGCCCGGGAAGAACTGAGGCATAAAGGAAAGTCAGGGTAGAGGGAATCTGAGATAAAAAGAAAAAATATTATCACTACCGTATGACCACACCTTTTCCCCACCTAATACAGGACATTAATCCTTTGAACCCTATGAAGTGAATTAACCCTGAGGCTTCAAGATTTTTATATTAGATGATTAGTGGCTTATCATGCTACAGGTCAAGGATTCACATGACTTGTTAATTATATGAGCTAATTATAGTAACATTAGGCTAATTATAACATAATGATTGATAATTACCATATAATAATTAGGTAACTAATTATTATCAAGCCTGGGACTGGAACCCAAGCATTCTGACTCCCCCCCCTTTTTTTTTTTTTGAAAACACCTGTACCACATAAGGTACCTAAAGATACCTAAAATATCTGAATTTTAAGAACGGCGAACAGGCAAATTTTAACATAAACATCCAAGACTTACATCTCTGCCCAAGAAATGGTGCCATCAGTTCAAAATGCAAATCTCCACTGTAGGGATCATATCTCTGGTATGGAGTTGTGACCTCCTAAGAGACCTGCCCCCTCTGCAGAGAACAACAATAAACTCTGGACAAAACAGAAGCAAACGACCACCTGATGATTCTGGAGCGTTAAAGCAGACAGATTTAGGAGGAGAGCTGAAATTTTCAACAAGGGACTGACAGAGGGTAATTTTCCTGCTTTTTAGGGCTTTATCCTGTCTGCAGATCACAGTTGCCATGTGGAAGTTAAAAGTCTGAGAGAAAACCTGCAGTATTTTTTGGCCTGGTCAAACAGAGGACAAAGCCTTGGGATCCAGAGTCATGAGAAACTGAGAAGGAATCCTGGAAAGGATAGTGCTAGAGAAGGAGAGCCCTGAATTTTGTGTATAAACTCTGTCCAAGTCTCTGGTAACCCCTAACCCATGTGTGTGAGAAGCAGATCCAAAACATCTCAGCTAAAGACAAAAGGGGCTGAATGAAGACTTGAGCTGCCCCTTCTACAGGCCAGTTTTCACTTTTTGTCTAATCAAGTTAACTGTCTGCTAAAAGGAAAATATCAATACTCTTTGGATGAATATATCAGGATGCAGGGTCTCTACAACACAATGTGTATAAATGTGACCTATGCTCAAGGGAAAAGACAATCAATGGTGTGAACTCTAAGATAACCCAGAGCTTGGAATTTTCAGACGCAAACATATAACTATGTTCAATGATATAAAGGAAGATATACTTGTAATGAACGAAAAAGTAGGAAATCTCAGCTCTCCATCTCTCCAATCTCCATCACTTTTCCCTTCCCTCCTCTCCCAGCTGGTTTCTAAGTAAGCTTCCCTTTACCACTTCCAACATCAGTGTACGTTAAATCAGAGAGCAAGAATTAACCAGGGCCCTGGGAATCTGCAAATCTCAAGAACTTACCAAGATATTTTGAGTTGACTATAATGGTTAAACTACCATTAAAAATACTCTTCTTTGTAACCCTAAGAGAAATCAGATTCAAGGTTATTCTCATCGCAATGTCATTCTGGCTCATCTGCATTTGGATATGCCTTCCAGGTGGAACTGAAAGGGATTAAGTTAAATAGGATCTACCAGCTAGGAACTGCATATCACCTGCAACCTATCATGCCACCTGTGTTAACATGTCATCTGTATATACGAATCAGGGGCACAAACCACTGATGTGGAAAATTAGGCATTATCTGTGTCTTAAAGTAAGTTTCCACTTTCATCAAATGGCTAGAACCTTCGACCGGACTAGACAAGACCTTCTGTCTCTGATAACAGCATTATTTTCTACTTTTGCAAGTCAGTGTAATCTTACTGGTCAAATCAATTTTTGTGAACTGGTCTGCTAAGTGAATGACCACTCACAGGAGAAACTTAAGCAATCTCTTCCCCAAGCTTTCAAATTTTTATTACCTTATACAATTTATAAACATCACATCTAGTACGAGAACATTCTGATGCCTAAGTGGGTTTAGCAGTATTACCTCATTCCTTCCTGTAACATCTCACGTGCAGCCCAGATGCAGCAGATAATCCTACTTCCAAAGCAAAATAAGTGGGCTTCCATTGTAAAAACAATGGCATTTGGGATGCTCCCAAAGCAGGCTTGAGTGAAATCGCTAAGCTCAACCCCACCCTCAACAAATGATACATTTGCCTGCCTGTACTTGTCCACTCAGTATATATTATTTTATAATCTCTCATTGACATATTTTATGTTAAAAGGAAATACTTATGTATGTGTAATTTACTGATATGAGCGATCTGGGGCAACGTCCAGAGTCTTCCAGTTAGACCTAATTCCCCAGTATCTGCAACCGCATTGTAATTTTACATGACAGGAAAAGCCCGTGGGGTATAAATTTATGATCATTATTATTTGTAACAGTGGTAGAAGACCTACCATTACATTCTATTTAATAAACTCTGCCTAGTTTTCCATGGTTTAAGAAAGTCCAAGTTCTAGACTTCCCTGGTGGTGCAGTGGTTAAGAATCTGCCTGTCAATGCAGGGGACACGGGTTCGAGCCCTGGTCCGGGAAGATCTCACACGCCACGGAGCAACTAAGCCCGTGGGCCACAACTACTGAGCCTGCGCTCTAGAGTCCACAAGCCACGACTACTGAGTCTGCGTGCCACAACTACTGAAGCCTGGGTGCCTAGAGCCCATGCTCCTCAACTAGAGAAGCCACCACAATGAGAAGCCTGCGAACCGCAATGAAGAGTAGCCCCTACGTGCCGCATCTAGAGAAAGCCCGAGTGCAGCAACAAAGAACTAATACAGCCATAAAATAAATAAAATTAATTAATTAAAAAAAAAGAAAGTCCAAGTTCCTAACAACCAAAAAGAAAACTGGCTTAACAGAGCATTCATTAAAATTTCACGGATATTACTGTATTACTTAAGGCTGTCCTACAGAAAACTATAGGAGGAAGCAGTGTGCTAGATGATTTGAAACTCGAGTGATTCATGAGAAAGTTGGATGGAGGGGCAAAACATGTGCTTTTGACACATCTCAAGTATAACACCACGTTTAAACATATGGTTCTATTTGTTTGTTTCTACCTAAATGGCACATCTAAGGTATTGCCTCTGAGATGTTCTATGGCATTTTAAAGTTCATGCAAATGGATGAAATCCTTATAATCTGTTTTTCTACATCTAAGACATTAAACTTGGGCACTCTAACCTTCCTGAGCATTTCAAGGGCTTGGGACCATGCACACAGTGGAGCCAAAAGTCACCTGTCATTTCCTTTTTTATGGAATTAAATAACATAGTGATTTGATATGCTTTCAAGAGGCTATGGAGCTCTGTCAGAAAATCTGAGCTTCAGGATGGACATGCTTCATTTAAATATCTGCTCAGCGAAGAACTAACTTCTCCTTGGCTGTTTTTGTTGTTGTTGTTTGTTTTTTTTTTTGCGGTACGCGGGCCTCTCACTGTTGTGGCCTCTCCCGTTGCGGAGCACAGGCTCCGGACGCGCAGGCTCAGCGGCCATGGCTCACGGGCGCAGCTGCTCCGTGGTATGTGGGATCTTCCCAGACCGGGGCACGAACCCGTGTCCCCTGCATCGGCAGGCGGACTCGCAACCACTGCGCCACCAGGGAAGCCCCCCCCCCCCCTTGGCTGTTTTTTCTTAACTGCATAACTAACACACCCTCTCTGCTCTAGAGGAGGAGGTCGGACGCTCCACTGTACCCTCCCGGGAACACGGCATTATTTTGCATATTAAACACCCATCAATCATAAATCACCACATAAACAATGAAATAGTCCAAAGCATCACAAAATAAATACTGGCCATACATGTTATACTGTTTCAGAGATTACTTACAACATAATTCACGTATAATGAAGTTGAGCCAGCCAAACTGAAATCTCCTCATTATGTAAGCACAGACACTTTTTAGATCTAACTGCGAGCATGGCTGTGCGGTTATCATCTTTTAGAAAACAAACTAAGACAGGAAAAGCTCATGTGGAATCAGGGGAGGCAGTCCTTAATACGCTTCACGTTGTCACAACGTGGTTTTTCCAAATGCAAATGCTTTTCTCATTTCTTGGCAAGGGGAAGTGGCGATTAGATGGTTGTTACATAGAAAGGGTGACATCTGGTAATCAGGAAAGTCTGTGGATGTTTCCCCTGGGTGCCCCTGAGTATTAACACACATTAAAAAATCATAAATAAAAACTATGCAGCCAGAAATATATCTCACCAGCCAAGTGTGTGTGAAAGCTTTTGGAAGGAAAAACTAAATCGGGAAAATGAAGATAACAGGGATCTCATCATCCAACTGTCTGCTGTGAGTTACCAGATTCTCGAAAAGAATTAAAAAAACAACAACAACACTGCCTACAGAATTAGAGGGCCAGAAGAAGGGACCTCGAAAGGTCAAGTGAGCTAGTAGCCAAGATGTATTTCAACACTTGCTCCAAGGCAACAGTAAATTTTCCTAAGATTTACTTGAGGTTTCCTTTGCACAGCTGCCTAGACATGCACCAAATATACCAGGCTTTTTAAAACATGAGAGAAAGAACTACACTTTTTAGAGAATTTGGTGCCAAGCTAGATGGAGCAAAGGCTTTGAAGCAGACCTGGCTTACAATTCTGCTTCTGACCTCTGAAGAGCTCGGGATGTGGGCTTCCCTGGTGGCGCAGTGGACAAGAATCTGCCTGCCAATGCAGGGGACACGGGTCCGCGAAGATCCCACATGCCACGGAGCAACTAAGCCCGTGGGCCACAACTACTGAAGTCTGCGCGCCTAGAGCCTGTGCTTCACAACAAGAGAAACCACCGCAATGAGAAGCTTGCGCACCGCAACGAAGAGTAGCCCCCGCTCACCGCAACTAGAGAAAGCCCGCGGGCAGCAACGAAGACCCAACACAGCCAAAAAGTAAAGAAAATAAAAATTTTTTTAAAAATTAAAAAATTTTTAAAAGAGCTCGGCATGTGACCTTGGGCTCATTTCTTAAACTTGCTGAGCTTCAGATTCTTCACGGATAAAACATGAACAATAAAATTTGCTTTACAGGATTAACAAGGATTATAGATAATAAAATAAAGGTGCCTAGAACAGGGTCTGGTTCGGGATCAGAATGGTGCTCTGAGTCGCAGCCTTATGAACACAGCAAGAAAACAGCAAAAGCAACTCTTCCCAGATGCCTTCCTCTCATGACTCATCTCTTTCTTCCATTTCTTAGTCAATGGCAGATGCCATCTCTTCTTCCAAAAACAAAACAGAAGGGGAAGGGAGGGCAGGGAGAGAAACTTCTCATTTCAAGATGATAGAAAAGTAACATTTTTGTCATCGTCTTCTTTCACCAGTTAACTCCAAATAACAAGGGGAACAAGAAATAAAATGCAAACTCATATCCCATGGATTTAGGAGACCTTTCTAACTCTGGACCATAACACGGCTGTCCCTCGGTAACGGCAGGGGCTTGGTTTCAGGGGCCCCGATATACCAAAATCCACGGATGCTGCGGCCCCTTCTACAAAATGGCAGAGTACAACGAATACAGTTGGTGCTCCGTATCTGTCCACAGATATGGAGAGCCGACTGTGCGTTGAATATTTATTGAAAAAAAATCTGTGGGCTTCCCTGGTGGCGCAGTGGTTGAGAGTCCGCCTGCCGATGCAGGGGACACGGGTTCGTGCCCCGGTCCGGGAACATCCCACATGCCGCGGAGCGGTTGGGCCCGTGAGCCATGGCCGCTGAGCCTGCGTGTCCAGAGCCTGTGCTCCGCAACGGGAGAGGCCACGACAGTGAGAGGCCCGCGTACCGAAAAAAAAAAAAAAAAAATGAAAGAAAAAGAAAAAAATCTGTGTATTAAGCGGACCTGTACACTTCAAGCTCATGTTGTTCAAGGGTTAGCTGAATATGAACATAGCCTGCGGACAGAAGGATGGGAAGTGATTTTGCAAAGTGGGATAACTTCAAACCTGAGTGCTTCTAGAAGAGGTGATCATGGAGAGACCAGCCAACCTACCCTGCAGAACCTCGGTAAGCCGTCGAAACTGGAGATGCCAGATATTGAGGAAAGTGGAGGACAGAAGAAAGCAAGCTGACCTGAGAGTCTCATGAGAAATTAGACATCCTGTTCCCACCTCAAACCGAAGAAGTTAGCCTGATACCCTTTGCCTACTGGGCAAGAGGCAGAAGGTATATTCTTTTGGAAAACTGTACCCAAGAGGCTCCAGACTAGGATACCAAGTAGCACCTAACCCACCCACGAGTAGGTAATTCCGCCCAGGCACACAGAGTTCCCAAATGTTTTTTATTTTTTATTTTTTCCAAATGTTTTTTAAAGAACCCTTTCAGATACATGCACCCCAGTGCTCACTGCAGCAATGCTTATAATGCCAGGGCACGGAAGAAACTTACATGTCCACTGACAGAGGAATAAAGACGAGGTACATAAATACCACAGAATGTTACTCAGCCATTAAAAAGAATGAAATAATGCCATTTGCAGCAACATGGATTATCATACTGAGTGAAGTAAGTCAGACAAAGACAAATATCGATATGATATAGCTTATATGTGAAATCTAAAAAAATGATACAAATGAACTTATTTACAAAACGGAAACAGACTCAGACACAGAGAACAAACTTATGGTTACCAAAGGGGAAAGAAGGTGGTGGAGGGAGGGATAAATTGGGAGTTTGGGATTGACATATACTCACTACTGTATTTAAAATAGATAACCAACAAGGACCTACTATATAGTACAGAGAACTCTGCTCAATATTCTGTAATAACCTAAAGGGGAAAAGAAGCTGAAAAAGAATAGATACATGTATATGTATAACTGAATCACTTTGCTGTACACCTGAAACTAACACAACACTGTAAAGCAACTATAGTCCATATAAAATAAAGATTAAAAAAATAAAGAACCCTTCCAATTTAATATTTCATTCCAAGACAGTGAAGCCCTCCTGGTGATGGCTTCTAAAGGCAGACAGATGGTGGGTTCCTCACATCCTCAACTAGTCAGTCCTAAATGAAGACAGATGAGACAGAGGAAGCGTACAGCCAAGTTACATCGTTTATTCTTACCAGCCCAACCGCACTGTGGTATGCCCGAGCCGGGGGCCCATGAGAAACTTCTGCCAGGAAGAACACAGACCACGGATCCCTTGGGGCTAATACTAAAGGCTTGAGCATCTAATAGTGGTCCTGGATCTTTCTGTCAAGCTCCTTAGAGTAAGGAAGCTTTCCTCTCTTCCTTTGAACTTTCTTCCTTTGTGGAAACTTTTATCGAGCTTTGCACGACTTTGTATGAGCTACTAGAATTCCTTTCACACCAGATGACCTGAGAACACAGCCCAACAAAATGACTCACCTCCCAGCTAGACATGCTTGGTTCCAGCCTTTTAACCAGAAAATGCTCCTCCCAGGCAAATGGAATAATATCATGTTTACTATGGCATCAGCAAACTAACAAGCCAACCCAAACAAACCTCTTTATTCATCTACATATAAGCTTGTTACCGCCAAATCTCAGTGACGATATTAAAAGACTCCTAAGGAGTATTTTAGGTATAATCTGCTCTTCTATGCACAATTACCGGTGGTCAAAATCAAATGAGGAAAACAGTTAGTGGTTCCGCAAAACAAAACAAAACAAAACAGAGTTACCACATGATCCGGCAATTCCACTTCTGGGTATGTACCCAAAAGAACTGAAAGCAGACTCAAGTAGATATTTGATCATAGCAGCATCTTTCACAATAGCCAAAGGTATAAACAATCCAAATGTCCATCGACAGGTGACTGGATAAACAAGATGTGGTATATATACACAACAAAATGTTATTCATCTTTAAAAAGGAAGGAAATTTCGACACAGGCTACAAATGGGTCGAGAATGTCAGTTTGGGAAGATGAAAAAGTTCTGGAGGTAGATGGTGGTAATGCTTGCATAACAATGTGAATGTACTTAATGCCACTGAACTACACACCTAAAAATGGCTAAAATGGTAAATTTTATATTATGTATATTTTACCACATATACACAAAATGATCAAGTGAGGAAGGAACACTGTTGAAGTGAGCCCTCTAACCATGAACATCCTGGTCATGGTTTCATGTGGGTCTTAATTGTGTGAATTACAGAAAAAAAAAATTTCTTTAAGCACGTGTGAAAAGGTTATTCTCAGATGGAGTTAAAGTTATAACCAAAAGGTATTTATCCTCCAAGGCTGCAAGTGATAATTTATTCATTCAACAAACATTCATCGTGCACCTACCCAAAAAGCGGAAGAGCTGGTAGTTAGGACCCTGCTCCTTGGGGATGTACCACCTGGGTCTGAATCCACACACCGCTGCTTTCCAGCTGTAGGGCCTTAGACAAGCGATGTAAAATCCCTCTAACTTGATTTCCTTCTGTGTAAAATGGGAAAGTAATAGTACTCACCTCATTGGCTTGGTGGGAGGATTTCATGAGTTAAGATGCAGCTTAGGACTGTGCTGGCATACGTTAAGTCCATTGGAAAATGTAGAAGGAAATGTGGTTTTCCTGCTGTGTCCTCACTGTGTTGGCCACCTTCAAGGACCCTGGAGCCCTGCAGAGGCGGGACGTGTGGACAAAAGCCCCGGCTGCAGGCTGAGAACACGTGCAGGCACCTTCACGTGATGTGCCTGCCAGCGTCTCCCTATCTCCCTGGTACATCAGTGTTCCTCAGACCCCAGGGTCAAGGACTTCAGCCAAGGGCTGACTGGAGTACAGGGCTGACGTTAAAGCGATAAGAACTTGGGATTGATTAACTTCCTCTTTGCAACGATGCCAACACTAGACACCCCAGCTCCCTTCTCACACATTTTTTCCTCCTTCCTTGCCTCCCCAAATGAGTTTTCTACCTCATCAACCTTCGTTATCATCTTGTTCGCTGACTGCCTTTTCCCTAATCAGGTGGTAAGTTGATCATTTCTGAAACATAATAAAAAATTATAACAAATGGGAAAAGGTGGTTTGGTATTATCTTTGTGAAAAACAAAATAAAACAAACTTGTATCTATGTATATGCTTATATATACACAGGTGGTGAAATTTTTACAGTGAAAATGAAGACACTGTGTATTCGTGGTTCTTTTCATGCAGGTGAGCTACAAGAGGGTTCCTCATATTCGTTTTTGTGTGTTTCCGGATTTTTCTGTAACGACCAGGTACTGATTTTGTATGTAGTAAGAGAAAATAAAATAATAAAGGGGTCTTCAGGGTGGTCTGGTACATTTCTAACGCCAGGCTTGACAACAGTTTCAGAAGCTTTGTGATTTTGAAAGCTGGGTAAGGAGTCACGTTCGGGAACGTGTCTGAGCAGATAGGCAGCCAGCATGACTCGCTTTACCCAGAAACTGAGCAGTTATATTTTGGACAAACTGCGCCAACTAGGTTTCAACCCAACTGCTTTTGACCAAGTCACCTGGAATCAATACACAGTATTTATTAAGCAATTGCTTTAGGGAGTTAGTGTGCTATTTAATAGGATGCTCATTCTTTTTGCACCTCAAGTAACTGGTGTAATAGGCTTGCCTCAGGGAGGATTTTAATGGAACCATTTCTCCCACGTGTGGGACACATTTAAACCAGTGCAGCTCTGCTCACGTTTGTTCCCACGGTTGCTAATTTTCCGAGGCGCTGATAGCTGTGAATCGTGTCCTACTCCGTGGGTCACTGCCCATGGACACAGCCTGGAAAGTGGAGATTATTCCTTGCAGCAACGTGGTTCATCGTATGCACTGACACCGTAGGACCCAAAGCCCTAGTGGTTTATTTCTTTTTATTCTATTCTTAACTCTCTAAGCATTCTAGAAACACCTCAATGTTATTAGTAATATTCTAGGGTAGCATTCATCAAGAAAATCCTATCTTCAGGCACTAAAATATTCATGATAAATGAAGCAATACAAGTCATCTGCGGTGGTTTCCAAGGCAGTCCAGAAGTTTCCTGACTGTTCCTCCTTCCTTCTCCTCCCACTCTGGACTTTCTCTGCAGTTTCGTTTCCTCACTCCTGTCGCTTTGGTTATTTACTAACTTTATTTATTGCAGTACAGTTGATTTACAATGTTATATCAGTTTCAGATGTAGAACATAGTGATTCAATATTTTTATAGATTATATTACATTTAAAGTTGTTATAAAATATTGGTTATATTCCCGAATGAATATAACACAACGGAAACACACTCTTTTCTCTTCTTCAAAGGTGGACCCAGCCTCAGGATCTCAACTCTCACCTCTCTGACACCTAAACTGCAAACTTCCAGGCAGCGAAACTGCCTTCATTTTGCTTGCCTGTATTTTCTAAGTTTTGTATAATCAACAGGTGTTACTTTCGTAAAGAGAAGACGTTATATTTTAAAATTCAGAGGAAAAAGTTAACTTCTCACTGCCAGCGTGGGATAGGATAGCACCCTGGAAGGAGCCAGAGCTCAAAGGCAAATAACCCATAAGCCTGTTTCTAAACATTGCCTCCTCCTTTCCAAATGTTCTTTGGTCCACAGGGCTTATTTTATTTAAGATGCGATCCTTCTCTAGAATTTCTTCGAGGGCACTAATGAGAATTTCTTTAAAAATTCTTTCCAGTTTCTAAATTAATTCTGTTTGGGGACTTCCCTGGTGGTCCAGTGGTTAAGACTCTGCACTTCCACTAGGGAACATGGGTTCGATCCCTGGTCGGGGAACTAAGATCCCACATGGCGCGTGGCCAAAAAACAACAACAAAAAAAACAACTCCAAAAAACACCCCACAATTAACTGTGTTTCACTGGGGATAATATACTCTGCAGGCCCACGGGCTCTTCTCTTTAAAAGTTTTCAATTTTCTACTGACTTTCAGACATCTACGTCTGACCCTGGAACAACGTGGATCTACCGATACGAGGATGTTTTCCAATAGTAAATAATACTACAGTATTCCATGATCTGCTGCTGGTTGAATTCTCGGATACAGAGGAACCAACTATAAGTTACAGGGGGTTTTTCGACCGTGTGAGGGTTGGAGCCCCTAATCCCCGCGTTGTCTAAGGGTCAAGTGTATTTATACTCATAAGCAAAGGCTTGGACCGGCAGCTCACACAGACCACCCCCTACCCTTACATGGGCTCATCTCCTCGGTGGGTGCACCACAAGGCTAACATGGGCCCACAGAATCCTGCGGCTTCCCTCGGGCCTGGGTGTGGTGGGCAGGCAGGGTTGGCCTAAAAGTATATATTGCCTTCTATGTTTTTCCCTAGGAAAAGCCTCAAATTAACCACAACAGCTGCATTTTCAGAAAGTCATTATTGAGGTAGAGATAGCTAGCTGTTCCCCCTCCTCTACTTCCTCTTCTTTTTCTTTTGTTACAAAACCCCAAATTATAGCTGGGCACATAACCACCCAGAATAAAGGAGCCATTTCCCAGCCTCTCATCCACCACGTACGGCCTTGTGAATAAGCCTAGCCAGTGGGATGTGAGTAGCCTTGATGCATGCAGCTTTCAGGTGTCACCCTCAAGTGGAAGGGGTGCGACCCTCCCCCTTCACCTTCCCACGAGTGGGAATGACCCACGCATGACTGGAGGCGGCGTGCCATCTTGGACAATGAGATCAACACGTCAGCAATGGGTGCATCACATACAAGGAGGTAAGCGCATGGTGCCGCCCAGCCACCATACGAGCTAAGGACGCCTGAACAGTTTCGTGCAAGAGAAACAAAATTCTATCTTGTTTAAGCTGTTATTGTTGGTTTCAGTTATAGGAGCCTAGTTCCTGCTCCCACCCACCTTCACCCCCCCAAAAGCTAAAATGACTGAAGGAAATAAAGTCAGGGGAGAAAGACTACTGAAATGCAAAGTTAGTAACCCAAATTGCGCTTAGAGAAGACACAGCCTTTTATTCTGCTCAGCAACTGTGCATGGAGCCCTTGAGCCTTATGAAATGCTGACCCTTGAAATGTAAATGTCTGAACCTTCCTTGTAAATTACCCAAAGCTAAAGAACTCTCTGCTTTCACAGGGCTACGATCCTTCTTTCCACACAGTGGGTAGAGTTCACCGGCGCTGCCTGGCCCCCTTTCCTGCACTTCACCATGTAAATGAGGTATTTCCAGAGAGAGCTCGGTACAGGAACACGTAAACACAAGTTGCTGATTCAGACTTCTGCCTGGGGTCAGTCACTTGGGAATTAAATGAGGAAGTCTTAGAGATCTTACTTGTAATGTCTTTGAAAGACAGAAGGGACCCGATTAATCATATGACCTGACACATCCCATAGCTCACACACATAAATCCCTTATGGAAAACAAAATACAACTGACATTACTTCAGGTCTAAGTCACTGGAGGGAGAAATTCACACAACACCAAAAGTGGGATTGCTACCTCCAGATCATTTACAGATGAGAGCAGGGATCTTCTATTTAAGATACCGAACTACATAAATAATGATCCAATGTCCCGTTAAAAATTTCAATTCAGATTAATTCAGAACTGGAAACATTAAGTTTGACTTAATTCAACCACCACTTAATTGAGAGCTTATTACACACCAAGCCAAGCATTTTCCATAGATTATTTAATTCTCATAACCACCTTTTTCTTTTTCTTTTTTTAACAGATGGGAAAACTGAAGCCCAGAATATTTAAGTGACTTGTTCAAATTAGTAGCTGAGCTGGACATGAACCCAGACTGCAGGCCTCCAGAGGCCACCTCTGCCCTGACCTGGGTGTTACAGAAGATGTGGGTGTTACAAAAGATGTGGAGATGATTAAGATTTTAATGTGGTCCTTCAAGATAACGAACGTGGGAGAAATAAATATACATATACACACAATTCCGCATAACACAGGACAGAGCATTCAAAGCACCGTAACACGAGTAAAATGTATTCTCTCGGTACAGAGGCAAGAGTATGAAGCCCGTTTCAGGGGCTGCAGAAGTGTGTGGCCCACTGGAGTGGCTCCTGTCCCAGAGGATGTAGCAGGCCCCATATGAAGGGGCTCCCACGCTCACTACCTACCAGTCTTGCTTCTCCAGCTTGGTCCCCAATCCAGCTCCTCTGTCTTGCAATCTCAATTTCCCTCTGGGAAAAAACTTCCTGTCCTTGGCTCAGGACATCCTCAGACAGCCTTTAGGCTGTGCCTCCCAAGTCTCAACCTTATTTAATAGTAGGTCAGAGAGCCACAGTCTAGGCCCAGTTGAGACATTGGAAAGAAAAGGATGCAGGCACAGAAAGGTGTTAAAAAGGCTACTGAAATATTTCAGGCAATAGATTCCGAAGGGCTAAAACAGGGCAGTGGGAATTGCAAAATGAGAACAGATTTTAAAGAAATGTTGGAGGAGTATCTATAGGATTTCCTAACACACTGGATGTGGGGAATAAGGAAAACAGAGACGTCCGAGACTAGAGACTGACTGTAGTGTAGCTGTCTGGAGGATGAGGTCACCATTAACCAAGGCAGGTTAAATCGGAAAAGAGCTAAATACAGAAGTTTCTATAGCACAAATTTGGGGAAGACTAGAAAGTATTAATGACATTCATTGTGGACATAATTGTTTAGGATGTCTGAGGCCTTACACAGCTCAAGCGCATGGTAAGGGTGGAGGTGTGCTAGAGACGGTCTTCAGAGGGACAGGTGAAGAAGATTATTGGCTAAAAACGCGTGGGGGGCTTCCCTGGTGGCGCAGTGGTTGAGAGTCCGCCTGCCGATGCAGGGGACACAGGTTCGTGCCCCGGTCCAGGAGGATCCCACATGCTGCGGAGCGGCTGGGCCCGTAAGCCATGGCCGCTGAGCCTGCGCGTCCGGAGCCTGTGCTCCGCAACGGGAGAGGCCACAACAGTGAGAGGCCCGCGTACCGCAAACAACAACAACAACAACAAAAAATGCGCGGGGAAGGCGTGTGCCAAGGACATGATCTGGGGAGACCTCCTCCCGGAAGAACTGTATCGAGTAAGGAAGCCAGAGAGACAAAGAGAAGGACTGGTGAGAGAAATGCTATCAAGGAAGCTGACAAACTAGACATAAGCGCTCCAGCAAATCACTGTCTCACTCTGGGTCTCTGCTTCCCACTCCGGGAAACAAAGGACTTTGGACTAGGGTGATCTTTAATGTCTTCCCTGGATTTTAGGGTGATGAAAATGTCTGTACCTTCATTGTGGTCACATGGGTGTATACTTTGTCAAAACTCATAGAACGGTCCACTTAAAATTGGTGCATTTTATCAAATGTAACTTATATGCTCCATTGAGGTTGATTAAAAAAAATTCCCTGTCTCTAAGAAATTATCCATTTTATGCAAAACTATTAATGGTAGTATGAAATATTCCATTTATGAGTATTTTTTCATCAGAGAAAAAGAAATATGGTTCAAAAACTGCATACCCTTAATCCCACCCCCACCACCCACCCAGAAAAAAAAAACCAAACACCACCATGAATTAGAAGAACTTGTTTTAAGAAATCAGTCCCTGATCATTCCGAATGTTGGTATGAGTGAGCAGACATCTTGAAGTGTTTTGCAAACGCATGGGAAAGTAACGAGAACTTCCGGTGGACTCTCAGACGTGGCATGTGTGGTAGGTTTTGCAGGACAGCCCAAGAGCCATAGGGAAGCAGTATGGCAGCCCTGGCTCTGCTAGGACCTACAGCTCAGTAATGACCTCTAGACAAATTTGCTTCAAGTGATGGCTCGCAGGAGTATAACACGTGTGGGTCAACACACAGCTCAATTCGATAACGATTTCTAAGGTGCAGGAATGGATGTTCCTGGTGGAAGGTATATCCATCTTTAAAACAACTTAAGCTCCTTGACAGCGGAAGCATCATTTAATTAGAAGGGAGAGCTGCCCACATCCCTGTATTGAGTCTATTATGGAGTCTGTCATTTATTATGATTTCTTTCCTTTTTTGCAAATTTTAAGAGGTAGTGCCTTAGAGAAATAAGTATGATCTGTGACAACAAGGTATAGTTTTTGGCTCTATGATAAAGGTAGCTCTACGGAGAATACCTTCGGGTCATGGGAGGACATGTACGTCTCTATCATCATAGTCAGTCTGTCTCCTCTAACTGATCATGAGCTCCTCCAGGGCCGGAATCGAGTCTTAGTTTCCTTGAGCACTTAGTCCAATGTCTGAAAGACCACATATTCAACACATTTTGGCTGAACTGAACTTGGCCAGAACTCTTTCCTTGGGAAGAACCTATCTAAGATACTATTTATAAGTTATGGGTTATGGCTTTATCTTCCCTTTTTTTTTTTTTCTCTTTCCTGGCCTCCTGTGGGCTCTCATCCTCCCTTCCTTCCTCCTTTCCTGTATTACAAGGTACAGAAGGAATGAGGCTTTGGCAGGAGTAATGGGCAGAGAGTAAGGAGTGTGTAACTCCAGTAATGTTTCTTGCATGAAATAACGACAAATCAGTTACCTCCAGGGGCCAAAAATATTCAAGTTTATCTGGAGTAAATAATATGTGCTCTGCTGTTTGTGATCAAGAACTGGGAGATTCAGATAGTCTAGGCAAGTTGTCCAAGACTGTTCAGTGATGCTGCTGGAACCAGAATTCAGGGGATGCATGGCAACTCGGCCAACCTGTCCAGACTAAGTTGTCCCAGGACGTTCATTCTCGACCCTTTCTTAGTGGCAACATAGGCCTCGGCATTTAAGAGGCCTGAATGAATCAAAACTATTAACAAATACAAAAACCTGGAGACACTGAATGGTATCACAGTATGGACAACTCTTTTTTTTTTGGCTGCTTTGGTCTCCGTTGCTGCACACGGGCTTTCTCTAGTTGTGGCGAGCGGGGGCTACTCTTGGTTGCGGTGCGCTGAACTCTCATTGCGGTGGCTTCTCTCGTTGCGGAGCAGGGGCTCTAGGCCTGTGGGCTTCAGTAGTTACAGCACGTGGGCTCAGTAGTTGTGGCATATGGGCCCTAGAGCATGTGGGCTCAGTAGTTGTAGCTCATGGGCTCTAGAGCACAGGCTCAGTTGTTGTGGTGCACGGCCTTAGTTGCTCTGCGGCATGTGGGATCTTCCCAGACCAGGGATCGAACCTGTGTCTCCTGCACTGGCAGGTAGATTCTTAACCACTGTGCCACCAGGGAAGTCCTGGACAGCTGTTTTGAAGTCAGGCAGAACTGGGTTTGAAACCTGATTCCACCACTTCGTTTCATAAATACAAGTTACAAAGTTACACTTCAGTTTCTTCTTCTGAAAAATGCAGTATCAATATATACATTGTTAGGGTTATTTTGAACATTAAATTAGATGGATAAAGCACTTGGTATAGTTCCTCTTATACAGGAAATGGCCAAGAAAGGGACAATGATAATGAGAGCTGCAGTAACAGTAACAGTAGTAGTGGTTATTGTTGTTGTTACCCTCTTCTGTCTTCCTTCAACGTATGGAGTTAAAGTACATATTAAATGAATATTTAGATGTTTTGATGAAGCCCTGTGAAATACGGGAAAGCCTGAAGATTAAACAGTATGTTAGTTTACACTGAATCAACTAATAATTGAATGTTGACCCTGGGAAGTAGAAAGAATCATAAGATAAAAAGAGCTTACACAATCACTTGTATAATCACTTGTGTAAAGACACAGAACATAAGAAATGTTCAACCACAACATGGTCTTTGAAAATAATAAAATGCTCAAGATGTCAAAAGGCCCTCAAGTCTGCCCCAAATTACCAAAGGACAGGGCCGGCGCAGCCTGGGATCGTCTGGGAATTGTTTGTGGAGTCGGACTTGGATCTTACAGGATGATTAAGTTGTATCTTGACAGGGAAGAGAATGGAAGGCCACCCAGGGCAGAGACGGGGCATCCAGAAAAGCATGCAGTGGTGTTGGTTATCTTGGCTTTAGGAACGCAGCACAGAGATTTTTGTTACACGGCAGTAGACGGCAATGCCTTATTAGCTAAACCCTCGAATTACCCCGGTATCCTCGAGCCAGAGAGGACAGTCACTGCTGTCCACAGCCCCTTTCTAGGGAAAACCACTTTGTCCGCGCTTGCTTCTGACCGGGTGGTCTGGATGGTCCTACTTCACACCAAGAGGCAATGCTCTTGCCCCTCCAGGTGGAGAAGATTGGAAAGGGGCACCTGAACCGTGGGCGCCCAGGGCCAGCCCATTTTCTGACATCTCCTCCGTCCTGACCCCAGGCATCCCAACCACAACTCCTTTCATCCCCGAGATCAAGTGGCATTTCAGTTCTCTGTAACCAAGATCTTGTTCTTTCCCAGTTGTCCTGGTAACACAGCAAAGATTCAGTTTTTGGAAGTCATAGTATAAAAGGCTTTTGATTTGGGGCTTAATTCCAGGTAGGGTTTCCACAATGGCTGTGTTTTTTCCAAAGAACAAATTTCTGTTTGACGGACAGAAGTCACTCCCTGGACGGTAACAAACATAAATGTCTTCATTAACCTGCAGACACAGCCCTTATCACACATGAGCACTGGATTCTGTCAACAACAGTTGAACCTCCAGGTGTTTCCGGCATTAGTGAATTATTTACTGGCGACCTTGAGAAGGAGTTGTAGGTTAGGTTTAAATAACGGGAAACCAGCTGTACCAGGCAGAGAAAAGAGGAGTGAGAAAGCGTGTTTCATAAACGTTTTTTCTTTAAATAACACGGAAGTTCTAGTGCCTCTGGCCATGTGAGCGCATAATTCACTGGCAATGCCCCGTGCTGTCTTCTGTTTGGCTTTCCCTGGGGTCTGGCTCTTTATTCCACACAAAAGAAACCCTTCTGTGGGCTCCATTAGAGAGAAGTGATAAGACACACTCACATGCATCGCTGTTTCACGCAGCTGACCCCTCTTTGCTGCTGTATCATTAACTGACTCCCTCCTCCAGATCTTTGAAACGCTTTCTAATCCGGTCTCCTGATGTAATCTCAGAGCAAGGAGCTCTCAGAAGTTGGAGAGCACAGTTTTTCTTTCCTATCCGAAGTATGGCATTTAAGATAAAGAGCAAATAGTGCTCTGTGATTAAGCGATACATGTAGCCTTGAAAACCTGCCATGGCAGCTTTAGTGTTGCGTCCTCACACAGCCCAAGCCCTGCCAGGATGTCTAGGGACAGAGGATTCATTTCACTTAACTCTAGGGGACAGCAGACAAGAGGCCATGAGAAGAACTGGGCACCCAAAGAAGATACCACAAGTTTAGGGCACTGACTGTAAAAAGGATGGCGTTGAACTCAGAGGAGTAACTCTTTGATGCAATTTCAGGCACTATGATAAAGTGAAGAATCCCAGGCACCGTGATGGGAGTGATGCTTCTGTGATAAGGGAAGGAATGTGTTCTGATATTTAATGAATGACACTAGGTAAGCAACTGTCTTCTCACGCTGGACCTGAGGTACCACTTCAACACTGGGGAGATCTGGAGATCTCTCGGGGGACTGTAGTGTTTACGTGCGGTGGCAAGATGGGGCGATGGTGGTGGGAGTGCAGGCGTAGACCAGAAGGGCCTTCCCAAGGAGCCACCACTGCTGCTCTGGGCACTTTCCACTTGGCCAGCATCTTTCTGGCATCCTGGGGGTTTTGGACTGCTGTGCAGAAGGCTATCGGGGGGTGTATGTTATGGAATTAGGGTCCACTTCTAGGTGCCCCAGTTCTACAACATAGGGCTTAGCCCTCCAGCAGGCGCTGCCCTGAATCAAGAGAGAACTCCCTGGAGAAGGGAGAAAAACTATCCTGAGGACCACCTAGACCCCCTTCAGGTCTAAGGATGCCCCTCAGTGCCAACCTGAGCCCA